TATTCTTCTCTTGCTCAGAGGGTTGGTCATTCTCATCATTACTCTCTTCATCATCTTGGTTGTTTCCAGAGGTTTCAAATGCGACCTCGTTCCCAGCCATATCATCATTGGCAGCCTGAACTGCAACCTCGTTTCCATTCAAGGAAAAAGCACTGCAAGCTAACAATAGAACTGCTGCTGCGATTAAAAACAAGATTTTCTTCATGTTGCCGTCTTTTCTTCCTGGGAAAAAATAACTTTATTAATTTTTTCACTTCTGCTAATAGCAATTTGATTTTAAAATGGCCACATGACAAAGTTCATATCATATATGCATTCTGAGTGTGATGTAAATGGTGTTTGGCCTTTTTACTTTAAAATTCGTCCCTTCGTAGGTTTTTAAATTTTGATCGCTTCTAAGACAGCTTTTAGATACTGCGTATCTTGATTAATTTACATTTTGCATAATATTATACAGCTTACAGTTTCGACCGTTCTCGAGGAACTCAATCTTGTTGATAGGAAGAATTGCGGCGGCATACTTTATCAGTAATTATTGGAACTTTTAAAAGAGTATAAATAGGCTTTCAAGCTACAACAAGCTAGAAAATCACAATTTGATTTTTCAGGAGCTTTTTGTTTCTTATCGTCTTGTTTACATGTCATAGGAGAGTATAAAGCCGTCAGAAAATTAATTATATGTAAAAATTATCGGCCGTCTTGCTAGTTATAGTGTTGCATTGAAACTCTTCTCTTTCTCCCTAACCCTAACCCTATCCCTTAGTCTATAGAAAAGCTGGATCTAGGGCGAAATATTTCTCTCTGTAGAAAACCGTTGACTAAAAAATTGAATGTGCATTCTTGAAAGGCACTGATATTTGTAAGGCACAGGTTTGACAAATAAATTTTGATAATAAATGGAGTATACTGCGGTACACAAACAATAAATGAATCAAATTACGACATCATAGCAATGATTTACTCACGTCAGACTGCCTGTACAGCTGAGCCAAAAGAATGCCAATGTGGTATTGCCAGTGTGGCATTGTCGGTCTGTATTTATGCTTTCACTGTTTGCACAGAAATCATTAAACTGTGTATGCACAGCCAGGTAAGGCCAGCAGAGGTATCAGGTACATTGCCATTGAATAAATCCACCGGTTTCAACGGCATCATGCTAGGCACTGTCTGACCACTGTCTGTGAAGTTCTTTTGGCCTCGGACACATACCACGATCTGCAAACAAACTGGTCACGCCTGACCGTAAACCGGTGGAATTTGTCTGAACTTTTCTGGCTTTTTTAGATATGGTATAACATTATTCGCAGTTCTCCTCAGTTGATTCCTAATTCTCTATTATTTGGTTTTCTAGAAACCAGCTTGTGTTGTATGAATAAGGAGTTGTGAGGTATTTGAGAAAGGGTAGACACCATACTCTTTTATTGATTCGTTTAAGAATTATGCTAGGATAGATACAAACAGTCAACTCTCTCTATCTGGATAACCCCCTATCTAAAATTTCTCTCTATCTTGTTTTGAAGTTCTGGCCTATTGAACATCTTTAATGACTGCAACATTATTTTCTCTCCGTATTTCGAAAGAAGCTCCTTCGCAGTTTAGATTTGCCCTCGCATTATTACGAATGCCTTACGGATAAAACAAAAATAGAATTTGGGAAAGCGTACTTTTCTCTTCCTTGAACACGAATATCGTTCCCTGTTAATGTTTCTATCTTTATGTCGAACTTCCCCAATTTTTTTTATATTTATGTGACAAAGTTGCTTGGTGGGAAATTTTTAAGTGAGAAAGCTACATATATCTCGTCAAAAAGAAGACTTGCCAACAGAACCTAGAATATGCGAAACTAGAACCTAGAAACCACCAAAGGAATGAATCAGAAAGACCTTCGTGAAAAGTTTGAGATACCCCAATTAAAATATCGACTTGGGTTAGAAAAAGAGAAAGTCAGTGTTAACTGCATCAATAGAAACACAAGCCAAAGCAAAGAAATATCGTGATAAGGGTTGATAACTTAGCCTTTTCGAATATTGTTTTGCCTAAAAGATAGTTCTGACGTTAAGTAAATAATTTGGCAAATTAGGCCTTTTTTTCTATGAATTTTGCACCCTCAGACAGACCCTCAATTTTGTGTTTCCCACGATAGACTGGGCAGCTGAGGGTTGACAACAGCTAAACTTATTCAGTGGCAATTGAGAATAATTGTTTTAAATATATAAGCTACCAAGGGAACTGAAAACGTGTTTTGCAACCGCAGACAATCATTCGAATTTATCAAATCCCGCATTTCATGAGGAAACCGACAGACAAGCATTTTAGAGATGAATTTGTCACAAACAGGATGCGAGCAATTCCTTTTGCAACAGTTTCGAAAGACAAGGCAGAACGTGAGGAACTCAAAATAGCTTTTCTTGGTTTTTATTACTCATTGAGCATTTAGGTGAGATGATAAAGAGGAACGGCGATAAAAGTACAGTTGGAAAATGAACATTCACAGAGGAAAATGTACGAAAATCGTTACAACCGAAGTCAAATCAAGCAAAGTAATATATCATTGATCTAGGCCTTTTTTGAAAATGAATTTGGTCTGGCGGTCCTGAAGCAACCTACTGTGACATACACGCAGCAATGTTCGAAGTCCTTTAGGAGAAATCCACAAAAAACAAAGTCGGTTTGATCTCGGCTTCACAACTGTATCGCTAATTCGGTTACAACGAAATATAAATGTTTCTCACCGGTCTAAGAAAACCTTAACATAACTCTTGTTTTCTCCCCACTCTTTTTTACAATCATTTTTCTCCTCTCTCTCTTGCATATCTCTGGGTCTCGCCCCTTTATTGTCCTGTCTTCTTATAAAAATTTACCGGGGGTAAATCAAGGGGTGCTTAGAGCCCTCACAGTACCAACCCTAATTGTGATTGTGATTGCGCAGTGATAGAAATGTTTTCAAAGAAGCAAAAAAGTACTGATGGAGTGATGCCTAAGAAAGAGGCCTTTTATAAATAATGCCCTCTACATTAGCATAAAGAAAATATGCGGAAGGCCATTCTTAAATCAAAGAAGTGACGTTCTATTCAACAGGAGGAGACACCTCTTTCGAACAAGCAATTATAGGGCCACTGAAAAACGCTTTAATTGCAAACGCAACTAAAAATTGCCACATTTTTCTCCTATTCAAAGGTTACTCTTCGGCATGTTGTCAATTTTCCGGTATTGTCTTTTTTCTTATTCCCTTACTTCTGCTAATTTTGCTGTATCTTGAAGTTTCACTTTCTCGACTAAATTTACTTCGTAAGAACAAGCTAGAGCATTTCAGCTTATTTGTTTTCCTAGGATTTTCTTTTTGACAGTTTAAAAGCATTTTATACATCTAGAATTCATTGAAAAATGACTATGTAGAAATTAAAATCAATAATTTATAGAAAGTTATAAAAAATTGCCTTCTTCTGCAGCCAAATTTTAGACGAGATTAAATACAAGCTAAATATAATTTCTGACATTCTTAAAAAACTTGATCATTTTCAATTCTATGAAATATGATACATTTATGACAATATAAGGTATGTCTCTGTATCTCTGTGCAGTCTGCAGGAATATTGTGGAATATTTTTCCGAAAGTTGGTTGGTTAATTGACACGTTTTTCCTTTTAAAATATCTACTTGTGAGTAAATACCCTCGGTTATGCGGCCATTTTCTCTAAAGTTATATAGTAAGAAGGGGGCTGTCTTTTTGCAGTCACTGACCCCCCAAAGTATAATTATTGTGTGTTGTATGAAAGCCATCGGTCCCTTTAATATTTGAATCCTGTCTATTTCATTTAGCGAGCTAGCTAAGAAATCAAGAGGAAAAAGCTCTATTGCTTTCTAAAGACAAATACAAGGCATGGTTGGTTATTTATCAGAGAAGCCAAAAGAAAGATGTAAACTTATAAAGGCAATTTGTGTTATGTATTAAAGCAAGACTTCTACATTTTACGCTACTCCGAACTTTTATTGCAGTTAGGAAACATTAATACATTTTCTCCAAGTGTTGCGAAAATGTTCTTTAAACGAAAAAAATTTTTTGAAGCCTTCCCATACTTTGATGGTATTTTAGCAACTTTAAAGTATAGCCCCTGTCAAACGATCCAACATTTCACCCAATATTTCGCCAAACATCATGTTAGGTGAAATGTTGGATCGTTTGACCACCTCAGCCAACATTGTTGGATCTGCGCACGCGCAGTTGGTTAAAGAGCGCTAACATTAAATCATCGCACCGTTGTTGTTTTTCTTGGGCTGGTTTTGTTCGTTTCAACAGTCGCGTTTGCTTACAATCAGTTACAATTTGTGGACAATATAGCGAAATATTACGAATTCTGTGCGAAAGAAGAGGCGTAAAGCGTCAAGGAAGAGCCTGTAGCATAGAGGAGCTACAAGAAAGCGCAAGGGACGAATTTAGGCCACGGCCTAGACCGCGATGCGACGCTCGTCCTGAAAGACCGCGATGGCAGTGAAAATATCTCAAGTGAAAATAAATAGAGAAGGCGGTGATTGACTTTCATTTTTTACGGATCGAGATGTCACAATACTGTGCGGCCTTCAGCGCGACCTTCTACCCAGTCATTTTTCGATCTGCGCGTGAAAAAGTTGGGTGAAATGTTGGATCGTTTGACCACCAGCGTTGGATTACATTCCAACATAAAAGAAAAGTGTTGGGTGAAGTGTTGGGTAAAATGCTGGATCGTTTGACCAGGGCTTAACCTGAGACTCAAAACAAACTTTTCCCAACATACATGTCCTTATTGAAAAACATATTTATAGGTTTTTGTGTGGATTTATCCCAGAAGAAAAGATATCTAAAAAACTAGTCAAAATCGTACAGGGCTGAGTTCTGTGTCCCATTGTTTTGAGAATTTGTGTTGATCTCTTCGCTCATTAAAATTCGTGAATGGTACTATTAGATGATAAATGTTCTACTATAAATTTTCTGAATTAGAAAAAGAAACAAAGAAAGAGGCAAGTTTTGTGACCAATAATGCATTCATTCAAATATTTAATTGATTACTGTTTATCATTTGACTTTTGCTTTGGCAAAACGTTTGGAAATGTGATAGGCGACACAGTGACAGGCATGCAATCGTTCAGGTCTGGCTTTGTGCAGTAGCTCCACTGGTCAGGGTTGCGATTGATGTAGCACCATTCGTAACTGTAGTCAAAGTCATCACATGGGTGCATGCATGTCCCATCTGCGCCATCAGCCATGCAGGCCCTTGGAAAGCTGAAGGAAATCTCATCCTTCTTGATTTTGGTTGGGCAACTGCAGCCTAATGTTTCTAGGCAGATTTCAGAATCGAAGAATTTGTTGACTTTTTCCACCACCTTAAAGACAACAATTGATTGATGAAAAAGGCGCACAAGAAAGCAAAAGATGACATTAACTTTCTCCAAGGCTTAGATTTTGAAGACAGTCCCTCTGCACCTCCGACCTTTGAAAAGAAAAAATCTAGAAGACTTGTCGTCACATAATTTCATTATTTAGATATAATCTCAAAGGCATAGGCCAAATTGACCTAAAACTATTAAATCAAAACATTCATGCGAAATTTCTCTCTCCAGTCGAGATCTTGTTTAAGTGGAGGAGCCCCAAGAGGCTTATCTGTAGGGTCTTTTATAAGATATGAATAAACGATATTTTCATCGAATAAATAACCATTAGCTGAAAAAACGTGATCTTCTCGAGCAAGAATTATTTACCTCTTTCCAGAGAAACTCGACAGTATCATCCCTGACTTTGTTGATTTTTGTTGTCCAACTGTCACCAACCCAGCCCGTGTTTCGTTTCCTAATGGTGAATTTTTTGCCGTCTAGGCCATCGTCCCATGTCAACAATCGGTCAATAGAGACGCACTCGTCACTTCTATCATTAGGAAAAACTAAGCCTCGATTCTTCAACCCGAGTCTTTGCCTCTTCAAGCCCTTCCTTGATTTGTGTGCCTTTCTCTTCTTGCAGGGATAATTCACTCGATCAGAGGAATATTTGGTGCCATGCAACTGCTGGTACCGTTTTCGCATCATTTCTTTCATAGAGGTTATGATATTTGCCCGTGCTCTTGCCATTTCATTTGCCAAAGCACAGCTGTTGATAATAAGTTTAGTAATTTAGATAAAAAGGAAATGCAAGAAAAAACCGAAAGAGGATCAATAATTGTAAAGGCCCAAGAGAAGAAATTGTTGGCTTTTGAAAAAGGCTGTTATGATTGTTGTATTATACTAGCATGCTTTATCAAAGTGACTATTTGCAACGATGCTTGCTGCCTGATTTTGCATCTTTAGAAATGTTCAAAGGAGAAAAACACTTTTCCAGCACTTAAACCATGTCAACTCGACGAACTAATCCTTTCATTCAGCAATAAAGATGAAAGTTGAGAAGCATCGTGCCGAGGAAAGACACTTGCAGCACATCATCTCAAGAGAGTTATGCCCTTTCAGTATCTTTAACTGTACATCAAAGAGAATTGCTTACTAACTTTGGTTGTTTGTTTTCTTTGATCATTTGCTGATATCCTGCAATCATAAATGGCATCCAGTACAATATCCCCAAAGGCAGCTCATACGACCAGCCAAGGGTTGGCCAGTTGTGTGGGAAAACAAGGTGTCGCTTGTCCAAGACGGTCTTCAAATCAGCTGGTCCAAAATCATTTGATTCCTGAAAACGAGACTCAAGAACTCTAAAAACCTCGGCTTTGAGTCGATCGACATGGTACTCAGCAAGTTTTTCGCCAATTTTGAGATCAACTTTCTCCTTAATCTGATCCCATAAACTTCTTTTTTCTTTGGTCAGTTCAGTGAGGAAGTATGACACGACTGTGATCCCTAAAAGTTAAAAAAACCAATTTTATTAAAATATTGTCTCAAATTCATTCGCTGTCCTAGATTTTTTATAGAAAGCTTATCTCGTAGTATCTAATAAGTTTTAAAGAAATACGTTTTGTTAAGAGCATATCAAATGTGGGAATAATTCGTCTTTCCAGCAAATAGGGACCCATGAAAAGTTCGAATGCGTTTTACTCGTCGCCAAAGTTTCGAAGTTTCCAAACTGGAATGTCCCTCTCTATGAGTGTCTATGAACGCAGTAATCTGAACCAAAACAACCGTTGCTATGGCAATTTTATATCTTGCAATTAGAACCTGTTATGTTACATGGATCACTTGGGCACCATTGCTTGAGAACAAAAGAAACAGAATGGATTGCGAAAAAAAATGGTTTTTGTAATTTCTTTGGTGGCATGAGCCTCCTTAGAAGAATAGTGATTGTGTTTGAAAAAATCGTCTCACCGATTGAGACAGCAGCTGCTGGACCTCCCGCTATACTGATTAATGAACCAATCACAAGGGCAAGTTTTGTGCCAGCTTCCACCATTTTCCTATTCTTCTCTTGCTCAGAAAGATGGCTGCTGTCATCATCACCCTCTTCACCATTTTGGTTGTTTCCGGAGGTTTCAAATGAGACCTCGTTGCCAGCCAAATCGTCATTATCAGCATATACAGCAACCTCGTTTCCGTTCAAGGGGGAAGAGCTGCAAGCTAACAGCAGAATTGCTGCTACTAGCAAAAGCAGGACTTTCTGCATGTTGATGTCTTACTTTCCTTGAAAAAGATAATTCTCTTTGAATTTAGACTTTGTAAATAAGAATATGGCGTTAATTTTCTATTTTTAAAAGGTTTGCATCATTGATGCATTCTAGCTTTGACTTTCAAAAATAGAAGAGAACCGAGTCTTCTGCAAAGTTTGAATAATCGAGGCATTCAGGAAATATATCACCTTTCGGACACTCAAAAAAGTTTTTAAATCTTCAAAAAACTAGTTATAAGCGTGTCATTGTCGTTGTAATGGGTAAATTTATTTTCAATCTTTTGTGGTTGTTGATAATTTTTTGTAAAATCTCGACCGTACAAAGAAAATCGATGATTTTGACTTTGAAGAAATAATCTGTAAATTTTTATTTATCTTTGAATGATTTCAATTTTCTCTAAAACTATGCAAGATACTGAAACCAAAATTCATTCGATGTCTTACCCCTTACGATATCACCCTTTCTCATCCAAAGTTAGGATAACTTGGGGTGAAAGCTTGTAATAGTAGTCATATTTTGCAAATATAAAAAATCCACGCAAGCTTTTTGAAGAATATCTTTAATGAGAACTTTTATTAAACAAAGAAATTAAGTTTTGAGGATTCACTGTCTCATTGGTTGGGTCGATATTTAAAAGCATTGGTCAAAACTATCTATTCTAAAGCTAAATTTTACGTGAGATTGAATTTTATTTTATGGCAGCAAAAGAATTTGAGAGATTGCTTTCACTTACAGTTTAAATAATTTTTGATGAGCTTTTTTACATCAGTTTGTGATTGGTTGAGATAATTTTGCAAGACTCAAATAATGGAAATGGAATCTTCGATAGAAAATAATATGATCTTTCAGTTTCTGGTCAAACCTATGCTTCATGCAGATTATATAGATTGTGAATAATTAGGAAATTACGATTAAATCTTTGCCTATCTTCTGTTTTGTCTATTAATGTTCAACAAAAGTCAGCCACTGATTTTATTCTAAATGGGTTTAATAGGACGACAGAGAAAGTACCAATGCTCGCAGCAACCTGTGAGCCCCTTTGTGTTGTACGTACTCAAGCCTACAAGCCTACAATAGCGATGAGCTAAAGTGATAATCCTTTACTGTAGAAACCCACAGATCGAAATACTGAATGAGTGACCATTAAGATACACTATGATATGCAAAAGACGAATAAATGAACAATAAATGAATCAAATTATGACATCATAGCAATGATTTACTCACGTCAGACTGCCTGTTCAGCTGAGCCAAAAGAATGCGAGTGTGGTATTGCCAGTGTGGCATTGCTGGTCTGTATTTATGCTTTCACTGTTTGCACAGAAATCATCAAGCAGTGTATGCACAGCCAGGTAAGGCCAGCAGAAGTATCAGGTACATTGCCACTGAATAAATCCACCGGTTCCAACTGCTTGGCACTGTTTGACCGCTCACCTGCTCTGACTTTTCTCACACCATCTCCGGCCAGATGACTCAGAACTTTCAGACGTTACATCCTTTTCAAATAAGCATTATATCTATTCTATTCAGCTTAGCCATATGTACCTCATCCATTTTGCGTGTCACAAGTAACAATCAAAAGTCCTCTATTTGTTAGCTTCTATATCAACGTCTTCTTCTCCATTATGAACTAACAAAGAAATAACTTTGCAGATGATGCAACTTTACATACAAAGTGTTAGTTACTGACTATGTATAGGGTGGGGTTAGGGTTTTTTGCATATCAATAATATCAATAATATGCACCATTTACTTTTGTTTACCTGTTTTTATTGACATTTTGCATATAATTAAATAGTTATCTTTAATTTGCCTTTTTGCGATATGAGCAATTATTCCCATTATTTTATTATTGTTTTTTTAAAGTTTTCTTTTATGCTCATCAAATATTCACTGTAATTCTCCATTTGGTGTCAAAAACTAGTGAAATGCTTAACGTTACAAATTAGAAAGAGTAGCTATACTATGCCCTCAGCAATCTTTTTTCTGCACAAAAATACGTAAATTCTAGCTTACGTGAAGTTCACTTAGAAACAAGCTTTCAGGAATCTTAGAAACTAGCTTTCAGCTTTTTAGGTTGCTTTCAGGAATCTGCCTTTTTTACTGTGTTTGGCTAAGGCAAGCTTCATAATGGATAATACATGACTTTTGTGGACATCACCCTGTACAAATCTTAGCAAATCTAAGACGCTCGAGCAATAGTTTATGATGGGCTCTGTCCTATGGCTCTGCCAACCCAAAGTATGCCAAAATTCACAACGATCTCAGTTTTAGATAAACTAAGATATATAGTAGATGCAGCAGCGTGGCAATTGGGGGAAAAGACGGCCGCCCTCCAAGTATCAATCTTCTAAAGGATGTTGACCCAATACCCTTGGCCGACCTCCTATTTCCATCTCCAACTACAGGCCGCCTTTGCTGCCTCACTGAATGATAATCTGACCTATCTTAATGATAATTAATATACCTTAACTCTGTTACTAGTGCAACGATTTTGTCTATATTCTGGTCTAAAACATTCTTGGAGCTTATCTTGCATTTACAAAAACATTTGACATAGATAGGAATTCGTGAATATATTATGTCTTTCTTTCATGTATTTAATGTATGTTCTACAAAGTTTGTTGCTTCGGACACTATCATGATCTGCAAACAAACTGGTCATGTCTGACTGTAAACCGGTGGAAATTGTCTGAATACTACCGGCTTTTTACAGAGAATTTTTCCTTAAATCCTAGCTTCAGTAACACCAGCTATAGTCCTGTCGAGGTGACAAACAAATTTGACGTTGGAAAAGAAAAAAAGATTCCTTACCTTTTGAAGACTCGGTCATCTGAAGGCTGGAACTCTTTCTACCCAAAATATTTGGTTTTAGAAATAAGCTCATGATACAAACCTAAGGGGGTATTGAGAAAAATACAAGATTGACTGGGCATCTTTGTTACTGACTTGCTTCATGGTGTATCCTAAATCCTAAACAATTATTTGCATTCATAAAAGATGCAATTTTATCTTTTAGCTATTTTAAGTTTGTTTTTATACCTGTTGGACATCCCGTAACCAATGATAACTGCTTTTTCACTTCATTCATGGATATTAGACACACCAAATATTGAAAGGGGGAAAATTATACATGAAATGGTATTAGAACTTTTCGAACCAAAGCATAGAGGAATTTAGTGAAAAATAAAATACCAAGTACTTTTTCTCTTAAGTACCATTATTCCTCCTAGTCTGACGACAAAAACACATTGAACTTGAATATCACACCTAGTTCTCTTGTGCTGATGTTTTTAGAGCAATATTTATATATATGGAATCTTCAGCGCTATTTTAGCTTCATGTTTATAGAATTCTAGATTGCAAATGAAAACGATCAAGTGCGAGCAGAGCTGGGATTCAAGACGAGTGGGAGGGGCATTTGCTCCTCGTGTTAACTGGCTGTAGACAAAGTTCAGCAAGCCAGTTACCGGTTGTAAACGAATCACACAATGGATAGGCATTAGAGTAAACGGGCAGGTAGCAGTCATAACATCACAGGTTGCAAATATTTTAGAAATCCGGCGAAAAATCACTGAATTACCTGTATGCATAGACATTGTCTGCCAATTTATTTCTAGAAAATTCTTTCTACTTAGATTCAATGGTCGAATATTAGTTGCAACAAGTTTCATTTTCTATTTAGTAATCTGAAAAATAAAGGAAGAAAGGAAGGATAAAGAAGAGGAAAGTTGTGAGACTTGTAGCAAGTCTAAACGTCCAATTGCTTTGATAGCTTTTGTTACTTTAACACCCGCTTATCTATTGTTTATGTTTCTGGTACAACTAAACACAAACCATTAATGTAATGAAAAATTCTAACAAAAACCTATCGGGAGGTCAGTTCCTAGAATCTCACTGCAAAAGGTTTGGGTGTTTTTATTCCAATAATTTATCCAAGACTGTGATTAAAACTTATTCCAACCAAAAGATGTCAGCATTTGGCTGTTTGTGAATTTGCTACTCAAGAGGCCTTTAAATCTAAATATTGGAAATGAATAGAATACTTTTTTTGATTTAGATGAAACTTGTTAGAAGCAGAAGGTATAAATGGATCTTTTTGAAATGGGCGCCCAAAAAATGTTCTATTTGGTTTGTTTATCAAAGGCTTTGACGGGTACCAATGGAAAACAGATTGATCATTTTCTGATGTTCAGTCTAAGAACAATTTTACTGCAGAGACTTATCTTGATATACTCTTAAATTTTGCTGTTGTTGTCGACTCTAACGCTACTTGTTTTCTATACTTTCTACATTCTAGAAAAAGTTTCTTTTCTAACAATTGGTAATGCCTTTTTCAATACAAGACAGTTTTTCTCAATTGGAAATCGTCAATGATACACTGTGCTATTGGTAAAATAATAGATGGGATAAGAAAGTTTGAAGGAACTTTGCATACCCTTACAAACAAGTGACTATTCTTTTAGATATTGACCGTTTACTCTCACTCCCCCTTGTTCGACATGGCTTGGAAAATTTACCCCCAACATGGTAGTTTGACCTAAGAAGAAAAAGAACAGGTTACCCAAACAACAAGCTAGGAAAATTCATGTAATTTCCCACAAGCACTAGAAAGCTCTAATTCGGTTATTGATTAAAAGTATTTTCGTTTTTCAGATTGTTATGTTGTAGCTTTTTTTAATGAATTTTATGCATAATCTTATGCGTACAAAATCCTATAAGCCGGTTTTGTCACATATGCCATGGACATCCCCTTTATCGAAGACAGTCTCTCCTTCTCCATGATTTAAGCTCCTTCTTTAAAAGAAAAAACATATCAATTTAGATTTAGATGAAATAACGACAAATACAGGCTATGAATTTAGCTTACAGTAAATAAGCATATTACAGAATTTTGATATTTGTGAACAATTTTCGGACGGCATAAATTTTTTAAATGGCTTTGAAAAGAACAAAATTTGTCAGCAAACTGTGCTCGCCTTTTTCTGATTGGCCTATTTCGATCCACAACTGGGTATATGCTTCCCATCTCGTTCTTTCGGACTCTTATTTTGACGTTTTATACTCTGAGGAGTCTCAGACGAAAACCTTTTTCCAAAGTTTTTTATCAAAATTTGATATTATTGGGATTTTCAAAAAATTTCGAAATAGAATTTTGTAGTTTTCGATGTCCCCAAGATGCAAAATTCAAGTTTGTTACTTTCCGAAGAGTGTCGTGTTGGGTTGGGTCACTTCATGCCATTGATAGCAGATGTGAGTTCTATTACTTTACATGAAAACGTTTTATTTTTGGACAGCATATTTGAGACCATGACTGTAAATGACAAAAATAAAGGGACATAGCTTGAGCCTTGTGGTGCACCAACATTCGCAATACACTCATTTTTTATAAGAAACAAAGGTTGATGTTGAGTACTCCAGATTCTTAATGTTCTGGAAATTTCAATACTCATTTAAGAGTTTCTTAATCATGATGTCATGAATGATGATATGAAATGTTCGTGACCTTTTTTCACGTCAAGAGATTCGCTTCCGTTCTGATGCTGTATTTAGATGTGGGAAGTATATTTTTATCCATTGTCTCTTAAGTTCTAGGCCAACAGGGCAATCTTGTTCTTGGATTGTACAAATTTTCTTTGTTCTCAGTTTTATCACGATTTAATAGTTTCTTAATTTTTTACTTCGAGTACTGAAGTTTCTTAATTTTTTCTGACTGTCCAGTACTCGTTTCTTATAGCCAGTTTCTTATAAAAAATTAGTGTAGTCGAGTTGATAACTGTTTTCGATTGTACCAGAAAGTGTGTAACCATGATTTTTTGCTCTATTTCGCTTTGTAGAACTTCATAAAAATGTGAGTTTTCTGGTTAAGTCACTGAGATTTTATTTTGTCCTAGCCAAGCCACTCCTTTGGGCTCATGGCCTTTTCCATTGATTGCAGGAGCAAACCTTTGTCCAAGGTCATTGGGCTGCAGTGAAAATTGCCCCCTAAGTATGTTGAAAAGACCCTGGGTATGCTAAACGTGTCAAAAGCCAGAGGTAAGATTATTTGAATCAAGAAGGAATCATTGGAATACTGAAATCATTATTTTGTATCCGTGTACCCAGCCTACCGTTTCCGTGTTTCCTAAGGAGAGACGCTGGAACATACTTTGGGGTGACAGGGCTCTAGACAAATTGGCAAACTTGTATGGTAGTTTTTCCATCACTATTATTGATGCCATAATATCATACTCCATCAAAAAAGTGAAGGGGCAAGAGCCTCCCAGCCCCAACCCGCCGACCCTGGCATGCCTTTTGAGAAATAGCCGATCAAATGAAATCATATTTTGCCATATTGGTTTTTCCTGTCACGTGGTGTAGTTGTTGTTGGAGAAAATACTTCCTCTCCGCTCTTTGGAAAGGGAAAAAGCCAGGAGTAGTTGGACGAGAATCGCTTCTTACTCAATCATGAAGAAAACAACTGCAGAACAAGAAGTATCTTTATTCTTTCATGTTATTTGTTTTATATGCAACTTCCTGGCTGTAAAACACGCGTTTAACCCAAAGTTTGCATGGTTTACTTTCCAGAGGTATGGCGGACAGTTAAAATACATGTCCCATTGGCTGCTGTATGGAAACACGATTTACAGCCTATATGCCTTGCTTGTGGACATTTATAACATCTTTGAAGGATATACGTGTAAGCCTAACGAGGAAGATGACAGGCCAGTTTTGGTTCGCATTCGTGACCAGGCTTTCAATACGGCTTGTTTCCCTTTCGGCGTAGGCCATACCCTGGTCTTCCTTGGCACCACCCTGGTGAACAATGGGTTTTTCGTTTCATTGATAAACAGACGAAAGGAAAATTTGAGATCATACTACATGCTGTATCTTCATGTCTTTCCACTCATTTTCTGCCTCCTTGAAGTTGCAATGGTCTACCACAAACCCAGCAACAACCTGAAGAAAGGGATGCAGACATCAATCGGTTTAGCTACTCTGTTCCTCGGCTGGATCCTTTGGGTGGCATATTTTGGAGCATATTGGAGCTATCCTTTCTTGCGTAGAGCCAGTATTGCAGTCAGAGTGTTGTGCTTGGCACTTTTACCAGTGGTTGCTGCTGCTTCATACTGCTTAGGAACCAAAGCTACTCATTGGTTTTGGGGAACAGTTTCCAACTCTGAAGCTGTTTCTGACACAAAGGATAAGAAGGATTGAAGAACCCAAATTTTTTTAGTTAGAATTATGAACAAATTAACTTTTGATAATTTTTTTCTATCTGGTCATATTTGCATTGAACTTTGCTTGCAGAAGTCCAAACAGGAAGTCATTTCAATTTCCCTGTTTTTTTAACCCTCTGATCCCAAATTCTCAAGGAAGCTAATCTAATGATTAGGAAATTTGATTGGAAAAATTCTAGAACTAGCTATCTAGATTTTGAAAAATTGACCCCGTTGGCTCTACAGAAAATGCTTCAAGAGTTTATTCTTCAATAATTTAGATTTTGCCCTTGCAAAAACAGTGCAGATCTAGTGAAGACAATTCATAGGGAGTTAGAGGATGTGTTCTTATGTGTTCCTATTCAAAAGTAATTATCTTTTTTCTGAAAAGTTCCCTAGACTGCAATGCATCCCTAGACATGAAAAGTTCCCTAGACATTTAGCCCCAATCAAGCCTTTGCAGTTGAGGCTTTTCCGTGTGTCCTAATCTTTGGCAGCAGAATTTTGTGTTGAAACTATGATTTGACAAGCAGAACAAAAGAAACAAATGCAAAAGTATTTGACCAATAATTAGATTTTGTACTGAGTGTTAAATGATGAATACATTTCCCCCAAAATTTGGTCAGATGCAGCATCAAGAGCCCTCTTCAAGATGCTTTTTTAAGATCATGTTTAAGCCACACAATCAATGTTATTTTGTGACTAGTTGTGTGATAGCCATTGTATTGAAATGCTGTAAAGCTGTCTAGAACTTAAATTTGTTATACACTACCTAGAGCTTACAATGCATGCACAATTTTATAGCTTTGTGGAACAGTATTTTTATAGGTTTGCCAGATTGCTGCTTTTTCTATAGTGTTTGTTATTGCTTGGTTTCTTAAAGGTTACTCTGTTGTCCAATTCTTTTCTTGTTGTCTGCATATGACACTTTCTTGTGATATGTCTTTGCCAATTGTTTTTAACCTCCAATGAATGTGACAATAGAAAATGAATTTCAACTGAGAGCCGAAAAGCTGTTGTTGTCTTTTTAATTCAAAACAAGCTAGAATAATTGAGCCCCAGTTATCTATTGTACTTTTTATCAGTTAGAGCCTCCAATATCTCTATGGAGTCTCCACACCCTTTAATGGAGAGGAAATGGTTTCATAAGGAAGTAAAAGTGCTATGATTTGCATATTTTTTTGAGATAACCAATATACTATACAAGCTTAAGGTGGCTTTTCCTACAGACAGACCAAACATCTACCTATCTGGAAAAATTTACGTTATTCAAGTTCACAGTTTTATTGGAAATAAAATGTTTTGTTCCTGCCAACGTGATGCAACATGTTGGTGATGATGATGATGAATTGGAGGTAACATGAAAGCGAGGCTTGGGCCTAAGTTTGTTATTCTACGAGAGCGCAGCTAGAGTTCTAACAATTCGTCGAAAATGGGGAAGAACAGACCGAAAATCGGTATGAAACTTTAATTTGCTTTGAATGGTAGATTATTATTTTGTGGAATCAACTTTTGGTTGAGTATTTTGTCTGAACTTACATATTTAATACAATAAGATAAATATACTATTAAGTAGAAATAGAACGATTGATCATTCATATGAAATCATTTGATTACAACTCACGTAGTTTTGTTTTGCTGTATCTATGAATTGTTGATATAGCATGTGTCAGTTTCCCTTTTGTAATGTTCTTCAGAGTTTATAAAAGAGAATCCACTGAAAAAATCAGCAACCAAAAAAATCTAAAAGAATTCAAATGAAATGAATAATCACACTTGCCTCTTTTTGATTCTATATATAGCTAGCTAATAACAACCAAAATATCCATCATTATATAAAATTTTATGATGATAAAACTGAGGTTTAAATGCAACATCCAGGACAAAGGCTTTAAATACTTTATCAAGCACATACTATGTTAGGTGTACTCAGCCCTGCAAATGGCAAGCTTTCCAATCTAGCTTATCTCATTTCCATAAATCCTTTTTCTGTAGTTAGTTTATGCTGAAGCAAGACCACTTTTGTCCTTAACCAGCCATTATTATAAGAAGATGGAATAATTTTAAATGTTGAATGAATTGACCTTTTCAAGGTATGACATTCTTGTATCTAATAAAGAAATCAAGCACTGACCTGAAAAATCTGCCATGTCAACACTTCAGCCTTCATTTACCATTTATTGCAAAAAATCATAATTGTTTGTTGGTTTACTTGAAACTATATATGCTTTAGATTTTAAGTGCTACTGCTGTAGATTCTGCCTAGTTGCCATTCCATCTCAAATTCTTTTACAGATCAAAATTTGTCCCAAGCAGAACTGATGCTAAAGACAATTTCAGAAATAATCAGTGAGCTGGTTGATGCTCATGAAAAAAAGAAAGACATTAATCTTAACCGGTAAGATTCTAAATTGTTTCTAATCATTCAACCTTCATTTTGCTAGCCAACAGGCACTTTTGAGCTGATTATTTTTCTAATGTTTAAAGCAGGGGCAGACAGTTGGTTAAAGATTGGGGGCAAGCCTATCCTTTTAATAAGATGATGTTACATTTTCCCATTGTTTTAGAACAAAGAATATTGTTCTCCAAACATTTTGGGGGCAACTGCTCCCCTTCACCCACACTCCCAGGTGTCAGTCACTAGTTTATAGAGCAGATTTGGAAATTTCTGTGCATTACATAATCAACTTTTTTCTGTTTTAGTTATATCTTTGCATTTTTTAAGGTTGAAAGGAAGTGTATGCCGCAAATATGGTCTCTCTTCACAACCAAGATTAGTTGACATCATAGCTGCAGTTCCAGCTGCTCATAAAAAGGTGATATTTCCAACCTTTTTTGGGAATACTGGAATGATTTTAGTAAATTCAGCTTTTATTTTTGTTTTATCAGCCTTGCCCCTGCCCCACTACTCCTGCACAAGAGCTCGGCCCCAAGGCCAGAGCTGGCTCTCTACGGGCCTGGTTGACCTCACAACATTGGAAGGTAAAGTTTGCAAGCATGCAAAAATAATGTGGGCTATGATTGTATGTGGAAGGAATTCGCAAGCAAAAAGTGAAAAAAGTTAAAGGCTCTTTGTATAACTGGCACACTATGTATAACTTAAATCAATGGCTTAATATTGTACTGCATGAAGATATAAAATACAGTCAATTTCTCAAGACTCATCATCTGAGGAGAGCCAGGACAGAACTTGTAACTTGTTCCATATTGGCTCTCCTTCACAACAGAAAGTAAAGTCTGCACGCAGGCTACTTATTGGTTTGCTTTGTTGAAATTCCGCTGGAAGAAGGCAGTTCTCTGGCAACGCTAAATAGTAGTGCTTTCCATTTTGGCCCAGACCAACAGATTGGCAGAGCTAATTCTTTTCACTTTCAAACTTTTCTTTTTCTTTTGTTTATCTTGCGTTTCATTGAAACATTAACAAGTAAAGATAATAAAAACGAACTGCTAATCATAGAACAGACAACCCTCAAATTCAATAAGCGGTTTGAAAATGATACTTTTGTAGATGAGATTGAGCTGCTTTTTGCAGATGATAAGGTATTTTTCTAACATTGTGAAACCTAAATGCAATCCAAAAGTTAGCTCAACCTAGAACCCAGCACGATCTTTAATTTCCGGAAATGCTCACAGCAAGTGCCCACCAAAAGTGAAATTTAGAATAACCCATTGTAATGCATAGGTTAGCAACAGAGAATTGAAAAATCACTAAAGAACTTGGACTTTTAACAAATTCTCTTATCAATCATAATTGTTCAACAGGACAAGAGTAATACAATCAGCAATCCTCTTCATGGAAGGATGTAAATAGCTTTCAAAAAACTCTGTTGCTTCAGAAAAGCTCAATATCATTGTCAATGCTAACTTTTGATACAAAGAAAATGAAAATTCAGAATACGTTCAAGTAATCAGAAAATTCAAGAAGCAGAATGATAATTGCAGTATTCTTGGTGAAAATGATTTATGATTAGAGATTGTGTTAACAATCAACAGTTTTTTATAATTCAATGATAAGCACAGTCTAAAACTAAGCGCATCATAATCTTCTCAATGCGTCAGATCATTTTTACAGCAACATAAAAGCATCAAATTGGCGCAAAAACAGATCTGATGGCTCATTCATGACATTCCTAATTTATCTATATTACGTCATTACTCTAATCACGGTTGCCAGATGTTCAATATCACAGTTCACTGTGAAATTCGTCCAGCCAAGCAAAAAATTCACAATGAGCAGCCATTTAAGAATTTCGTTAATTTAGCCAACACAATCAATTACACATTCAGCTGAATTAAATAGTTTGGTAAAGATCGCTTTTCATGTTAAAGTAACATACATTTGGTTTTTTCCCATTGTCTGTTATCTTTTACTTGCTCATGTTTCATCAGTGGAAATTTTGAGATATTTTGACGAGATGTTATTCATTATTTGTGGGAAAGTAGTCCTGTGCCTTGTAATTTTGTCTTGTTTTGTTTTATTGCTCACTTGCAGCCAAATTTCAGCCAACGTCTACTTCCTCAAGTAAATTCTCCTCAGCTAAGGGCTTTGAAGAAAAGGCTAGGCTAGAATGGAGGAATTAGGCTGTCAAAACGTCCGAATGGCAGCCTTGACTTTAATGAAAACCAAGCTTTAAAAAGTGAAGAAGATTCAAATTAGAAACAAAAAATCATTTGACTCTGATATTCTGAATTAAAAGCATGATGGCATTGTAATTAAAGCTGCATTGTATTTTCGTAAACTCTCTATTAAACTAGCAACTTGAATGAAACAAAATAGGTAAGAGTGTGAATTGCATGCATGTAATTTTTTATGCGTGTGATTTACAACACACATGGAAATTTCTTTATGACAAAGACTCACTTTTTGCTTACATTGTTATCAGATTTCAAGTATATACTTTATTGATCAATCTACTTACTTTTTCTTTTGTAGACACTTATTCCAAAGCTGAAAGCAAAGCCGATTCGAACAGCATCTGGGGTAAGATTATTTTGTTGCAAGTCAATTTACTAAGTCTTTTGGTATTCTCGTTATAAATAGAAATAGTAGGAATCTGCTCCTCAGATAAGGTTAATCACAATTATCAAATCAAAATTCCTAATCAATTAGGTCACTACAATGTTGCTAAGAACCAATCCCTAAAAAACAATCGTTCTGAAAATTGTTCGAAAAATTGCCTGAAAATTTTCAAAATTTGAAGGCTCTTGCGCAGCCGGCATGCTAAATGACAACTATCTTGAGAAATTGATTGTGTTTCGTATTTTCATGAAGTACGATATAAGGCCGGTTTAGAAGATATCATCGCAAAGCATTCCGGTTGCTCAAGAGCCCTTAAGAACTGATAAAAATGGATATTTTGATCCACAGCAGTTTAGAATCTAGCTCTAAAAGACCAAGTCAATTCCACATTTATAAGGAATAGCTGTGATGGTCAGCGTTCAAGCCCAGAAAATTGATAATTCTTTGCAAGCATAGTCAGTTAGTTTCGCTGAGCTGGACTCTTGGGTTTCAAATAATAACGAAAAGAACAATAGGAGCACAGGAAGCCAGAGGTAGATAAATAGATTCCTAGCACTTGAAATATCAAGAGCTGCCAAGTACTTGCAACATGATGTTTCATACCCAGATTTTTGTTTATTAATGTTCAACTCTAGATTGCTGTTGTTGCTGTTATGTGTAAGCCACATCGATGCCCACACATCAACATGACTGGAAACATTTGTGTGTGAGTATTTCTGCAGAACACCTTCGTATAATGTGTTTTAGTCTTACTTATAGAATAAGCAGGCTTGTAGTGTTCCTTACAGTGTCACGATGCTTTTCTACTGTGCAGACATCATTTTATCGGTATGTGATGGCAACACTAGAGAAACAAGAGGCAAAATAAGAGGGAACTAACCCACCCCCCCCCCCCCCCCCCCCCCCCCCCCNGCTTCATTGAAATTCCGCTGAAAAAATGCAGTCATCCAGCAAGGCTAAATAGCAATCCTTCCCTTTTTGGCCCAGATCAACAGATTGACAGAGCTAGTTCTTTTCACATTCATTCTTTTCTTTTTCTTTTGTTTATCTTGCGTTTCATTGAAACAACAACAAGTAAAGGTAACAAAACGAACTGCCAATCATAGAACAGACCACCATCAAATTCAATAAGCGGTTTGAAAATGATACTTTTGTAGATGAGATTGAGCTGCTTTTTGCAGATGATAAGGTTCTTAACATTGCAAAACCTAAATGCAATCCAAAAGTTGACAATCATTGACAATCTAGAATCCAGCGCCATCTTAATTTCCGGAAATTCTCACAGCAGGTGCCCACCAAAAGTGAAATTTGAAAAAACCTATTGTAATGTATAGATTAGCAACAGAGAATTGAAAAGCCACTAAAGAACTTGGACTTTTAACAAATGCCCTTATCAATCATAATTGTTCAACAGGACAAGCAAGATCACACCATCAGCAATCCTTACTTGTTTCATGTTTCGTCAGTGGAAATTTTGAGATATTTTGACAAGATGTTATTCATTATTTGTGAAAAAATAGTTCTTTGCCTTGTATTTTTGTCTTGTTTTGCTTTAATGCTCATTTCCTCAAGTAAATTCTCGTCAGCCAAGGGCTTTGAAGAAATGGCTAGAATGGAGGAATTTGGCTGTCTGAACCTTCGAATGGCAGCCTTGGCTTTAATGTAAACCAAGCTTTAAAAAGTGAAAAAAAAATCAAATGAGAAACAAAAAATCATTTGACATTGATATTCTAAAATAAAAGCATGATGGCATTGTAATTAAAGCTGCATTGTATTTTCGTAAACTCTCTATTAAACTAGCAACTTGAATGAAACAAAATAGGTAAGAGTGTGAATTGCATGCATGTAATTTTTTATGCGTGTGATTTACAACACACATGGAAATTTCTTTATGACAAAGACTCACTTTTTGCTTACATTGTTATCAGATTTCAAGTATATACTTTATTGATCAATCTACTTACTTTTTCTTTTGTAGACACTTATTCCAAAGCTGAAAGCAAAGCCGATTCGAACAGCATCTGGGGTAAGATTATTTTGTTGCAAGTCAATTTACTAAGTCTTTTGGTATTCTCGTTATAAATAGAAATAGTAGGAATCTGCTCCTCAGATAAGGTTAATCACAATTATCAAATCAAAATTCCTAAGCAATTTGGTCACTACAATGTTGCTAAGAACCAATCCCTATGAAACAATCTTTCTGAAAATTGTTCGAAAAATTACCTGAAAATATTAAAAAATTAAATGCTTCTGCGCAACCGGCATGCTTAGCGGCAGCTGTCTTGAGAAATTGATTGTGTTTCGTATTTTCATGAAGTACGATATAAGGCCGGTTTTGAACATATCATCGCAAAGCATTCCGGTTGCTCAAGAGCCCTTAAGAACTGATAAAAATGGATATTTTGATCCACAGCAGTTTAGAATCTAGCTCTAAAAGACCAAGTCAATTCCACATTTATAAGGAATAGCTGTGATGGTCAGCGTTCAAGCCCAGAAAATTGATAATTCTTTGCAAGCATAGTCAGTTAGTTTCGCTGAGCTGGACTCTTGGGTTTCAAATAATAATGAAAAGAACAATAGGAGCACGGGAAGCCAGAGGTAGATAAATAGATTCCTAGCGCTTGAAATATCAAAAGCTGCCAAGTACTTGCAACATGATGTTTTATACCCAGATTTTTGTTTATTAATGTTCAACTCTAGATTGCTGTTGTTGCTGTTATGTGTAAGCCACATCGATGCCCACACATCAACATGACTGGAAACATTTGTGTGTGAGTTTTTCTGGAGAACACCTTCGTATAATGTGTTTTAGTCTTACTTATAGAATAAGCAGGCTTGTAGTGTTCTCTACAGTGTCACGATGCTTTTCTACTGTGCAGACATCATTTTATGGGAATGTGGTGGCAACACTTTATGAAACAAGAGGCAAAATAAGAGGGAACTAACCCCCCCCCCCCCCCCTGCCCCGTCATGGTCATATATGGCCAATATCGTCTACAGTAGGCACTTTCATGACACTATCAGTTGTGTAAATGACCAACTTTTAACTTTTCCTGTGATTTGATTTATGATGGTGGGTAGTTGTACTGAATTTTAGACACTGTGGGTAGTCCATATCAGTTGTTTGATAATGAATGATTGAGTGATATTGTCCTACATATTGTATGTTGATGAATATAGATAAAAAGAATCATTATATATGTAAAAGCGGCTTTATGCACAGTGTAAATAACTTACCATGATATATTCATTAATATCATTATTCGGGGGATAATAATACAACTTAATTGTATTCTCAGATACTGCCCTGGTGGACCAGATTCAGATTTTGAGTATTCAACGCAATCTTACACTGGATACGAGGTAATATTTTACGTCATCTTTATGTATTTTTGTGTATTTGCTCTTATTACTCCAAATTCACTTGTCTTTCATGCCTTGTTTGTAATTTGTACTTTGGATTAAAGGATAGATTATATGTAACTGACTGGTTTTTTGTAGCCTGAAAATGAAATCTTGCGCCCATTTTTCTTTAATTGTTTCTCAAACCACTTAGTTCTGAAGATCCTTCTTTTGCATTCACTTAAAAGTAAAATTAAATATTAAAAATTTATCTTAAATTAGTGATTGATAATCTTGAATTCTTATTCTAATAAGGTTTTCATCACTTAAGGACTTATTTTTATTTGTATGTTACAAACATTATCTGTAAGGACTTATTTCACATTTTTACATTTAACCTAAGTCAATCGACTGTAAGTAAAGTAGTGATGGTTGTTGGGGTATCAACCTCTGGGAGCTTGAATTGAATTTTCTGCATCTCCCTCTAGTATGACTTTTGAAAACATTCTTGAGTTGAGAGCAAAATGAATTCAGAAAAAGCTATGCTTTCCTAACTAAACTACGGGGTTTAATGCCAGGAATCTGTGAAATTTTATGGTTTCGTCAACTTTATTAGGTACCTCCGTTCATGTATTTTCACAGTTCATCGTTTTATCATTAAAGGTTATCATAAAAAAAGTTTCACTTTTAGATGACAGTGGGTTGAACTACCTTAATTCTCTAATGATTAGACCAATTTCGTTTTTTACAGCCAACCTCGATGCGAGCCATAAGAGCCAGGTATAACCCGTTTTTACAAACAAGGCACCGTGTGGAGCAGGTAAAAGATTATTTTGATCAGAGACAATATTGTAATATATCTTTCCCATTAATCTCTATGCGATTTTTACTTAGAAGGCTCTAGAAAGTATGTAAAAACTTTAAGATTTCGGCACAACATAGAGATCTTAAATTATAAAGTTTTTCTCCTAATTTCTTTTTTCAAGTGCACCTGCTTTCCCTCCTTTTTCATTGGTTTATTTTTTTCTGATGTAGGGCCTGCGATAATAAATGAATGACAATTAAAAATGATGAAGATATTGTATTTATTGGCTCAATTTCACCACATGAGTTAGAGACCTGAGGAGGCTAGCTATGTATGAGGCCATATAAAGCAGGAGATGGGGTTCCCATGGCCTCAACTCTTTTGCAAAGCACAAGTAATTTTTTGAAAATATGCTGTTAAGATTTCCCTCCCATTTCAAATTTGCATCAGAACCCCTCTTCTGTCTTCAGTTTGGCAATTTTTGTCTTGTACCCCCTACTTCAGTTCAAATCAGCACTGAATAGCATTGTAATTGTTACTTTTTAATTTTTCTATAGAATTTTTATCGGAGAAGAGATTTGTCAGATAAACATTGTAGCAAAATTTAGAAAATCTTGTCAGATCTTTAATGAGTGATGCAAAACTTGTGGATGCTATTTTTCGGCTTATTCTGGCATTTTTGTTTACAGTTACAAAATCTTGGGCACAATGTGGACAAGGTGAGTCTTTGTATTTGTTTAAAAAGAAAAAGGGTAACCCAATTACTAAAGACTGTTTGGATGTTTGGAAAGTCTTGCAAAAATAATCGCTTAGGAACGAGGGTTGAAAAGGTGCTGGATTAAAATATAATTCCCTTTTAACGTTGCTTTTTCTGTGCTTTATCAACTACCTTTTATCAGCTACAGGAATTGTGCAGCTGTAAAGTAATTCTTCGTCTAGTTGATCTCGTTAGGATGGGGTAATATTTTATATTTGGCTGCTGTTTTATGTTGGCTTTAGACCTGTTTTCATTTCGACGAATAGTTCCAAAATACTTCCGGGTTTGACCCTTTGAATCCATAAAACAAGAGCTTAGAACCTAATCTTACTTCTATAAAGATAGAAAATTGATATTCTCATATTGTATTTATATAATCTATTTTTGTAACAATCTTTGCAGTTAACTTTTAACCGCAGTGTTTCTAAAGATTCTGCCCACAGGTTTTAAAAAGTTTGCAATTGTAATTGTTATTGGTAATTATTAAATTAAAGGTGTCTCATAACTTTTCACATTACCTGATTTTTAAATAATTTAACGTCGCCAAGTCGGGTTTCATGAATTAGGTTTCTGTTCACAAGTTTTTGTAGAATGCTATCTGAGGTTCTATTCCTGCCTAGTCGGGTTCTAACACAAATCATTTAATTTCTCGCCAAGGTTGAGTTTATTGTGATGGGAGGCACTTTCATGGCCCTCGATGATGAGTACAAGGATTACTTCATTCGAAATTTACACGATGCACTTTCTGGGCATTCGTCAAACAGCGTTGACGAAGCAGTGAGGTAATTGAAATGATATCATGCTGTTGATCTGTGTGACTGATTGGTTGGTTGATTGATCGATTGATTGACCAATCAGAAACATAATTATGTTTCTGCTTGGTTAGAGTGATTGATCGACTGAAGTCAGCAAAAAGGTTGTTCACAGTAATGGATTAGTTGTTATGATTGATATCGTTGACTATCTTTCAAATGTGATTTTGTGAAGCATGATGGACAGATCAAAGTGATTATTTCAAATGCTGAATCAATCGCTGTCTAAAACATATGATCAAGCTAAACAAATTTTGATATATCGCTCTTTTCACTATCAATCAATTTCCTTTTCTATGCCAGAAACAATATTTTATTTTATTGTTTGTTTGCCTGTCTCTTCTTTCACTGTTTGGTAAATCATATAACCTGGTAAAGTAAAAATTGTAGCAGCTTGGCGCAGCCTTGCGAAAGTTGTGGCTCAAATTTTACCATCTTTTCTTCTAATATTCCCATTTTCTCGAAGGTACTCGGAGAAAAGCAAGACAAAATGCATCGGAATAACAATAGAGACACGTCCAGATTATTGCTTAAAAAGACATTTGAAGTAAGTAGAATCTTCAACCGAATTGGTGTCAAAATGAAAGATGGCAGTACTGTTTATCAAAGTTTATCAAATTTATCATTTGAGATTGGACACTTGAATGTTCGACAGTTTTGAGAAAGGGTTCACTCGCTCGTAAGGGGACTCTACGGCAAGGCCTTACAGGTGTTGATTGTTTGAAATTCAAACGAGGAACAAACGAGGAACCTTGTCTGAAGAACGAATTCAAAGCTGTTTCTCCAGCATGCTTTCCAACAAGGCCAGATATTTGCCCTTTTATTTGCAGGATTATAAGTTCTGCTCAGTGTATTATGCTAGGTTATTTGTATTCCCATCATATTTATTAAAAGCAAAGTTATTCAAAACGGTCTTTAGTTCCCTGTGCAGTTTCACCTTTAATCTTTTATTATCTATATTTTTAGCTCAATGTTATCATACGGTTGCACTAGACTGGAAATCGGGGTGCAAAGTGTGTATGAAGACGTAGCAAGAGACACTAACAGGTGAATACACCTTGTTTATTTATCTTTTTACTTCTACAGTTTATTGGCTAGAGCATATCAATAATTTATTTTCCATGTATAGTTTTATTTTTTTCTACGTTTTTTCTCTCAGCCATCTTTTTAGATCTTTTCTTTCCCAGACTCTAAACATTGATTTTAGCTTGTCACACCTAATTTTTGGCTCAAATTATTCAATCACTTATATATTTAATGATTCTTTCGTTACTGATAAATGATTCAAATAATCATCATCTATCTTTCTATCACCATAGAGGACATACTGTTCGTGCTGTTTGTGAATCGTTCCAGCTATCTAAAGATGCTGGGTTTAAAGTAATTGCCCATATGATGCCAGATCTGCCAAATGTAGGGCTAGAGAGAGACATCCAGCAATTTATCGTAAGTGGTATCTGTTCCCTATCTTTTTTGTCAGATCATAAGGCTCAATTTTTTTACTGCGGTTTAGTTTACGGTCAATCCCATGTAGTCGCACCCCTGATAACTCGGATTTCATATAATCGGACTGTCTACCAATTCCTTTTGGATTTTTCTTCCTTATTCAAGTAAAAAGTCGTGCCCCGGATACGTCGGACATTCGCTAAGTTGAGCCGTTTCCCAACCCCTTCTTGAGCTTGCAGCTTGCATTGCCTTTTTCTATTCAAAATAAAAGTTAGGCTAAGATATTTTATTAAACCTGTGTATTCTTTAGCATGTGCTCATGGTCGTAAACAGCTAAGTGAAAGTGTGCTCGTTATTGTATCTACTGCATATTTGCAAATCGTTTGAGTCTCCTTGTTTAGATTATCTAGAAGAGCTTTTTGCTCTGAAAAGTTTGCTCTGTTGAAATTTTGCCAGATTTGAAATTTGCTTATAAAGATACCGGCTCAAAATTTGTCTTTATTTAATTATGACAATCTGATCGTTATTAAAGGTTTTAACACGAATTAGTAAAGCGAATATTTCATTACTATGAGTCGAATTTCTAGCACTTGAGCAGAAATATAAGACATTTTTCTTCCGGATATTGTTTAAGAAGATTTAGATTATTGCTGACAAGTTTGAACGTCACAAAAAAGCATCTAGATGCAGCTACAACATGTATCTATTATGTTTGTTGAAAAAATTTGTAACCCGTCAGTCGGATGTCGACTAACTCCGAGACAGATTCCTTGTCCCGACTAATTTGACTCATCTGACGTTGTGTCTCATACGAAACTATTTCTCATCATTACCAAAATTGGCTTAAGATGTTTGTTGATTTCTCTCTCTTCTTTGTTTATAGGAATTCTTCGAGAATCCTGCTTTCCGTGCAGATGGGCTAAAAATATACCCAACACTTGTAATCAGAGGCACAGGTAAAGCCCCTGTTTTATTTTCATATTGTTTGCAGTATGTTATTAATGCAATATGAATATGTCATATTGCTAAATAATTGTTCTTAGAAGTGGCCTCCTTTGCTTTCTCGAGACTGCAATGCATCATGGTATAAATGGTATTAGAAATCAAAGAATGTGCCGCATGTTCTTTTAAATATATTCGGAACTTCTTTGAATTTTTTAGAGTTGAGATAAATTGATACATGACGAGTACCAGGAAGTAAACTTCGTTTTTAGTTCATCTGGAAATATACTGTAAGGTCCCATTTTGAGAAATTCGGGAAGTCTTTCTTTTCTTGTCTATTTTTCGTTTCTACCACAGTTCTCTGACATGTAGAAATTTCTTGAGAGTGTTTAGGGGATTCTAAAAATCAAAATGAAAGGTTAGGAAGTATGAGACATTGACCAATTTTGATCATCCGAATTCCCCTTTTACTCTTCCGTCAACGGCACCTTCAAAACTGATTCTTCACCCATAAATTTCTTTTTTTCTTCCATTGAAAACAGGGTTGTACGAACTTTGGAAGACTGGACGATACCGGAGTTACCCCCCTGGCGTCTTGGTTGATTTGGTTGCCAGGATTTTGGCTTTAGTGCCACCATGGACCAGAGTTTATAGAGTGCAAAGGTGATTAAGTTCTATAATTAGTTCGCATACACAAAGGCCCTTTTTACTTTGTTTAGTTCCTATCTCTTGAGCCATTCTATCATCATAGATGAGCTGTTTGACATTGATTATAACTGTGAAATTGTAACCGCAGGCTTGATTAATGGTTTTGGTCCTTTTTTGAATAGTGATATGTATGTTCGCAGTTTCGAGGGGGAGCAGCTTGAAACCTTTTATAAACGGAAATATGGGTTTTCGCGACTAAAGATTTTCAAAATAAGTCTGTTAACCATGTACGTTTTTATAATACTGTGTCACAATGTATCGAAGAAAACTTTCAATTTGAATTGAATTATCTTTGGTCATGTCTCCATCTACAAAGCTACACGCTCTGCTCCTTGGAAAACCTGCATATTTTGCTAGATTTTTGCTTTTTTCGTATATCTCCCGTGTTTCTAATAGACTAACCCTCCTCCCCCTTAAAACAATGTTGCTTACCATGCAGTATATCATAGCAATCGGTATAAAAAGGTTTGTCACAAAAGTATGTCTTAACTTTGCTATGAGAAAACATTGTTTGAAGGGGGAAGGCGAACGGACGCATTCAAAGGTTTTAAATATCACAAGTGTTCCAAGAGTTTTGGCAGTGACTGTAGTCGAGTTCAAATAAAAAAACGGTCCGTCAAAGAAAGACTTTAGGTTTCCCTGTTAATAAATAAAATTGTTGACGTTCTCTAGTATTGTGTAGTGTGTAAAATGCATGTTTTTTAGAGATATTCCGATGCCACTTGTAACTTCTGGGGTTGAGCACGGCAACTTAAGAGAGCTTGCGTTGGCAAGAATGAAAGATTTCGGCACTAAGGTATGCTTTATTTATACCTTAAGGTAATGTCTGTTGTAACTAGGTAATGCAGATTCTCACCCTATTCGAACCGTCAGAAAATACACCAGTTTCAAACTATGTTTAGAATAATAGAATGCATCAGTTTCAGTGCTCTTTGTGAATATATTTACATTTACCCGTGGAGGGATTGGAGTATTCCAAAGAACGGTTCAGCTACTGAATAGAAAAAACCTGGAACAACGTCACCACAACAATGGGAGAACCAATTCATTCAAATATAAAGAGCATCTGTCGAGTTTCTATCAGCTCTTTGAATAACCAAATCTCCTGGAAGATCTGTCATTTAAGCTTAAATTTCTATTAAAATTCAGAATTTTATAAGGTTAAGCATATTTCTGACTGAAGGAGTGTTGTGTATAGCTGTTTTTGAATGCGAAAATACAATAAAAATTTGTTAAGTCAAGAACCGTATTTGTCGAAGCATAGTTTAAGTCCAACTTTCGTTTATCTGTGTTCATTAAAGGCTGTTCTCATTACAGGCTGTCAAACTCTAAAATTATTGTTGATCAATGCCTTTTAAACATCATCTTCAATTCCCAATATTTCATGCTAAATTTTATCCCCGTAGTCGAATTTCCAGTATTTGTCGTAAAAGGCGTCGCAAAGAACGTCGTAAAAAGGCCTCGTGACGTAATAACGCGTAAATTCATAATATATGTCGTACAAAATTTCGTAAGTCGAATATCGAAGGCATGCTGCTACCAACTGATTCAACATGAGCAGAGCTAGCAGCAAAGCAGTGTTAATTGAATTGAATTAAACATAGATTGAATTGAATGGAATTGATTGCAATGCTGGATATTTATAAAATCTTCTGTGATTACCCGACTAGTTTTGTTTTTATTCTGAAATTTTATGCTAACTAACAGCACCCGCTTCTTAAGATTTGTTTACAGTGGGTTTACATTGGAAATGTGGAACCTATAAATGAATTTCTAATTTCAGCTAGTGTCATCTGTGAAGTTACTTCCGTAACTGAACTTTTTGTAGTTATTGTAAATTTTTGACTTGGCTGCTTATAAAAAAGCAAAAAGCGAATTAAGGTTAAACTAGCATAAGCGGAATAAAATTTACAACGATAATTAGAATGTTACGTAGTTTTCAAATACAATGATTGAAAAATACTTTCTAACTAAAAGCCAATGGTTCGAATATTGTGAATGCAAAATCCTCAGTTTTCTGTCGTTGTTGTTGTTTCAGTGTCGCGATGTTCGAACGAGGGAAGTTGGCATTCAGGAAATTCACAACAATATTCGACCGTATGAGGTAAGGCTTAACCGCTCAGTTGCAATATTTAAATATGGTAAACAAGATTAACAACGTTGAACTACTTTTTAAAATGGCTTTGAAAAAGCAAACATCTCAAAGCCATTTTACAAATTCTGTACCACAAAAAGATTTTTTGCCATGTACTTTTTGTTCGATTCTCCTTAACTTAAGTAACATGTGGTGGATCATTCCAAAGGTTGAAGGGGAATATTTTCGTTAAGTTAGGTAATGTTATATCCAGGTGCAAATCGAAGTAGCTCAAGAGGTAAGATTCGTAATGTTGTTGTAATTTTAGCGTTGGTATTATTATTTTTCAATTTCGATTCTCAAAAAAATCATTCTAATAAGAATTGATGTATGTTGAGTAGAGCACGACGGCTCTAAGTTGCTATAGTGCACACTCGATGCCATAGTCCATCATCTACCTATGTACAACTCGGCATTCATCGAGCACTCTGTTTCTTATATGTTTTATTGCAATCTCTTATAGATTGAGTTGATCAGACGTGACTATACCGCTAATAATGGCTGGGAGACATTTCTGTCTTACGAAGACCCAGAACAAGGTTGGAATCTAAACATTCATTTCTTTCTCTCAATGATAATTGGTTTAATTCACTTGCTTGCCCACTTTCTGAGCTGACATCAGATGGCTAGATCAAGTGTATGGAAGTATTTATTTTGTATCCAGACCTCCCTAAAAATTGTTTCTGCCTGCGAGCACAAACTGTTTTGTGAAAGTTGTCTGCAAGATTTTTTTCATATACATTGCGTAGGATAAAAAATTGTTTAGAATAACATAAAGTAAGATTTAATTGGGCAAAGACCGGTAAATTTTCAAAGAGCTACTTTAACAGAAAATAACTCTAGAATTACAATGGTTTTATCAACAAAAATGGCATTATAGAGTTAAAACAAACTTTAGCTTACGAATTTCTGTTATTATGAGATGTTTGTTTTTGTGAGATTTTCATATTTAATACTGTGGAGCAACTAACTGTTTAAATTTTTTAATTTTTCTCTTTCTAGATATTCTTGTCGGTTTGTTGCGACTTCGAAAATGCTCACCAGAAACATTTCGCGCTGAATTGAAAGGAAGGTGTTCGATAGTTCGAGAGCTGCATGTGTATCTTTTCGTTACTTGCACGTGATATTTGATTACCTGCAAAATTCTTAATATTTAAAATATCATAATTTCCCTGCCAGTCCTTGCGCTGCCTAGTCTCGAAAATGACTGACCATTAAATGGTTACCTTTCTCTTCATTTCCCTTTCGCTTCAGATTTCTTCAGGGCTTTGATGTTTGTCAGCACCTTTCGTATCCCTGTGCTTTGGGTCATAGTCGTAGCGCCTGAGTGTAGTAGTCGTAGGGCCAAAGTGGAATTCCTTAACATTTTTGAAGTTATGGCAGTGTTGTGCCAGTAAGCACTCGTGACCCATCAAAATTCCAGCACCAGGTGAGAAACTTTTGTAATCATTATTTTGGCATTTGTTTAATTTTTCACTGAATTTCGATTTATCTCAATGAAAGCATTCAAATTCAGTTTAGGTTAACTGCACCTTATTGACTTCGATAATAATATCCTCTGATTAGCTTCATGTTAGAAAATTAGGTCTCAGTATTTGTTCAATATTTTTTATACTATTAATACATTTTTGTGGAGATCTGTAATTTATCATGGAAAGGCATCTTAAGTGATCAAAGGCTTTAGTAAATTGTTTTCTCCATCATGTTTTCCTAAGCCAAGTATTGTAGGAATGTAAAATAGCAATATGTTTTGTGTTTTGTCTCTGGATTCAAACACGAGTTTTTAGATAGAAGCAAAGCATACTCTTGTTTGTTGAAAGACGAAGACAAATTATTGGAGCAAGAATTGGTTCTTTGTAGTTTTTCGTACGTAACGTAAACTTCAATTTGTGCTGCTAATAGAATCCCGCCTTTTTAACAACATTTGACCCTAATAGAGCATTCTATTTTTGCAACTTAGGAAGTTCTTGGATGCAATGATATCGAGACGAATGGAACTGATACCTTTAAAACCCTGAATATCATTGCTTGATCTAAATTGAGTCAAGACTGAATTCGTGCGAAAATTAAATTGTTATGTTTTATGATGGGTTCGCGGGAGATGAGCCCCTAAAATGTGACGTTTTGTAAGAAAAAGCTCAATATTCTCCGTTTCTTAGAATGACGTCATTCTGAGCACTTCATACTTAGTGTTGCAAATTTTTTGCCTAGGGCTTCGGTACTTTGTTGATGCAAGAAGCGGAAAGAATAGCAAGAGAGGAACATGGTTCAAAAAAGATAGCAGTTATATCAGGTAACTGGGCTTTCAGTATGCGGGTACTCTGTATTTTTAAGATTTAAAGATGGCAAGATTGAATGGGACGGTTGGAATGCTGTACACATTTTTGAAAATAAGTTCTGTATTTTTTAGTAATGTTCCGTTTGCCAATTATAACTCTTGTATATATTTCTACTCTGTTTAAACATGTTTTAAATGAAAGAATCAAATGATCTCATCCCGTTTCCAATTTAGTCCACTCACAGAGCCAGAATACAGGCCATTTCGATTTTTGCCACGATTTTCTTTTCACCCCCTCATGCCCCCCCCCCCGCCTTTCCATTTAAAACAATACAGAAACTGTTGTTGCCAACAAGGTAACTTCGTGTTACTTACGTTCTTTTGGAATTTTTCTAGTGATTATATTCTATTGCTTTTTCATAGGTGTTGGTACAAGGGACTATTACCGCAAGCTTGGTTACGAACTTGACGGACCGTATATGTCAAAGAGTCTCGTAGAGTAAAAGAATACTTATTTTGTCTCAACGTAATACTCTGAAGAAATAGTATGTCGCCCCTTGTAGTAATGAATTTGCTAAGCAAACCGAATGCCGTTGTCAGATGAACTATCACCCGGCGTATCAGCACTTATTTTATGATAAATTTTAATGAAATGGTATTTTAAAACATATTTTATTCATTGATTTTGTGTTCCAAAATGACCCAGTGTCTCCTTTGCACGGTTCCTTATACAACTAGAAACACATCGGTTATCTTTATCAAATCAGAAGCAGATACACGTATTAGCAATGGAATTCGCCTGTTAAATCTGTCAATCACTCAATTATGCTGTCATTCATTGAATCGTGCTGTCAATCAAAAAGCAAATTGTATTTGTTACCTTTGTAAAAGTTTCGAAGAATTTCTAGGCATCTTTTGAAGAAACTGACGATTTATTAAGTGCAGAGACCGAGACAAAAACTCTTGGTTTATACGTGAGATTGATGTTTTTACACGTAATTAAGTTCAGCGATTCGTTATAGCCAATAAACTGAAAGTGAAAAAATAAATACCCAATTGTGGATCGAAATATACAAATCAGAAAAACGCAAGCACAAAACCGGTAAAGTTGTCCGATCAGTTTACAGCACTAGGTGAGCCCTTCCATCCATTCAAAAGTATTGCGTTCCTCTCACCCAAAAAGGTTCCGTTGTTTATAAATTTACATGCCAGCGTGATTCTGGCTACGTAGGACGTACCACCTGAAGGTTGGGGTATAGGATAAAATAACATGTTCCTTCCAACATAAGAAACAAAACTGCCCCTCAAAGAGAACAGCCTCCTCGATCTTGTAGGTCTAGAAACACTGTTAAAACAAGTGATTCGCCATCGGTCAACATCTTTTAGACAACCCAGATTGTGCAAAACTCTAAAATGATGACATGTTTCGGATAATTGGCAGAGCCCGGTCGTCCTTCCATCTAGCAGTTTTTGAATCGATCAACAAACAAACGAAAACGTTGCTATTGTGTAGTCAGAATGAGTTCATTGTCTTTCTTGGACTCCAGTGGTAAACTGTAATTGTATTAGTTTGTTCGACTGCGAGTCTCGCTACCACATAATGAAATGCAAGCGGCTGGTAGCTTTCAAATGGCTTCAAAATAACTCGTGAATGTTTTAAAGTTTTTTTCGCGATGCTTTTCCACAGGTCTTGTTTGCAGATGTGTTCGGAATTCATTTTAGGCGGGAATGACGTTTTTAAAATTAGGTTGGTCTCCAGACCCTTTAATCGCGCGGTTGATTCCGTGACGGGTACCTGACCTTATCGTAAAATATTCCGCGCAGATTAAAGTATAAACAAACAGGCCTAGGCCGAAATTACAGGAATATTATGGAATTGCCGGTGATTTTATCGTAATAATATCTGTAATTCTGGATTGAATTCAAGCTTCAAAGCTAATTTTTAAAATGGCGCTTGTCATGGTGCTTATTGGATTTCTTGGGACATTCCCTTTCGCTTCTCAGGTATGTAAACGATTATCTTTTTATTTTTACTGATTTTGAACCGCGATTATACTTGGAGAGCTGTGTCGTAATTCTCGTAATATGTGTAACTAAGCGTAATAATCGTCGCTGTCCTTAACGAAGGCTGAAATTAAAAGGGATAGTTTGAATGTAGTGGTCTTTTAACTCGTAGCGCCGTAACTTTGCTCGCAACTGTCGTAAATATTCGTAAAATGATTTTAGGCCAGACATGGCTTGCAATGTTTTCATTTTGAATGCTCTTCATTTCTCGGTTTCTGCTCTACAACGTTCCATACCCTACAACCCCTGTTCAACCTTTATGATAAGTGGAAGTATTGATACATGCTAAATATGCCTTAATGTATGTCAAATATAAACATGTTTCGTTCATCGTTTTTACGGTTAAAAACCCTTAAATTACCTAGAAAACCGCCAATAGAATATGTGAAAATTATAAAAAAATCCAATAAAAAGTTGCAGCTCTTTGCTGCATTCTTCTTCGAACCGATTGTCAGTGCTCTTTCGTTCTTCTTCTTCTTTGTTGGGTCTCTTTGATACTGTCGATTGCTATTTTGCTGAAGCTTTGATTGACACTTCGAGTCCTTCAGATTGTCAGTCAACTATAAAATGAACATCGATTCGTTTTTTACAGGCTTCTCACCCACAGTTCCTGGTAATTCCATTTAGAGTATTGCAAAACATGGGTCTGGAAGTTAAAGCCGATAGTTTGACGTTGCATAAGAGGAATGAAATTACCAAGAGAATGGTAAGCCTGCAATTTTCAGCCGAATTTTGTGTGAATGAATTTACCAAATAATTTCAAATATATAAACAGTCATTAGATATGAACCTGAAAATATTTGCTGTTGTACACACGCCCAATTTTGATAACAAACGGAATCATCACTAGGGACTTTCAACCCAAAGGATTTTCAAGTGTTGTAATGTTCATTTAAGGTTAAGCTTGAATTAGAAAACGCCTTTGGCCTGGTTAATGCTGCTCTATTTAAGAAATATTTGTTAATCGAGGCATGCCCAACTTGAATTTATGCAAGACCGTAGACATGAAGCAATTGTTTATTTTGCTTTGTTATTAACCTTTACTCGTTAGGGGGCTACCTAAATGCCCCTTTTTGCAAACATTAATTTCATTTATAATGATGTGAAGGCATTTAATTTTTATAATTTAGCTGCTAACAATTTAAATAAGGTAAAGCAGCAGAGCATTAGTGAAACCCTTCTGTCAAAGCAAAGTTGGCAGATAAAAAGAAACGAAACAATGCCATAACCTTGTAGGATTCCGTGATATTATAGGATGTCTTCCAATCTGCAGCTCATCGCTGTTAATAGTTCTCATCTATTTATAATATACTCATAAATCAAAGTTATTTTTCTTTAGAACATAAATTCTAACTCAAATATTCAAGTTCCAATGGAAATTGCGAAGCAGCTTGGTCTTATAAAAGGTGGAAAAGATGGCGGAGGAGGAGGAGGTGGTGGTGGAAATTGTGGAGGAGGTGGCAGTATGTGTGGGAAGTCGTTATCTGAAGTATCAATGAACGGTGGAGGAGCAACAACGAATAATTTCCCATCTGGTCCGGTGTTCTCGGTTGGACAAGCAGCGCCACCCGGTGAAGTGCACCCGGTATGTATCCTCATTCAAATTTTTCTTGCAGTCCCACACTCAAAGGTACGTGGATGGCAAAATGGGAAAGGTTGCTGAATATAGATTTAAAGTTGATGGCCCATTGACATTACCAAACTTTCACTTTGAGTGAACAGAGTTGCCAGCTTTCTGTAATTCCAGTCGTAGGAGTCACGAGGTGTGATCCCATTGAGAGGAAGAAGCTGGATACTGCTATAAACATAGCTTCTCAGTGTCTACCTTCGAAAACTTGGTAGCAACCAAAATTGATAAATACTCGTTACATGATGAATACCGAGAACCTTCTTTACGGAACATCTCCTACAACGACCAACGGTCCGAAATTTCTTCTTTCCGCTCAAGGCATTGTAGAAGTAATCTCCGGACAATAGTTACTTCCTTTATACCGGACATTTTTTTTCTGGTTCCACAGGTTTCAATTACAAGGCAGTTATACTGAGATTTCATAACTGTACCTGCATTCCATCACGTGTTTACCAGCCAGATTATAATTATCTTGTGACAAAAAGTCATGGACGTCTTGGATTGGAGTAATTAGCTGACTTGTATTGATTATATTGCGAGTCACTCACAAATATGACAACTAGAACATTGAGTCTAATTTGTCTTCTGATTTCCTTTCCAATTTAGGATTTGCTGACACTCAATCTTAAAGGCAAAGATGGAAAGAAAGGAAAGGATGGCCCAACTGTATGTATAAACGATTTTATTGTAGGGCATGCTTTTGCCTTAGAACATTTTTTTATATTGAGCTTTGATTTATGTAAATGCTTTCAGAATGTTTTGCGTTTCCCTTTTGCACTGAAACGTTACATTAACTTAAGGTGGTAATGGACTTTTCATTACTTTTATCTCGATGATTCTGTACTCGTTGCTCTCTAGGGACCAGCTGGCGATGCAGGACCTCCCGGCCCCCAGGGACCACCGGTGAGACTCCATTTTTTCATAATTCCACATTTATACATAGCAGGAACGCAGGAGATAATATGTGATTCAACTAAGCATCGTTTATTGATATAAGATTTTTTCACGACTATGTAAATGTCGATGTATCAATTCATAAATTCACAGGGCACCAAGGGTGACACTGGTGATGCTTGCAATCCAATTAAACTACCAACCGTTGTAAGTATTAATGCACCCTTTTGTTTCGTTTCATTGAAACTCTATAAACAGAATATTTGTGCCAAATTATTTCGTTAGAGCATTGGGTAAAACGAAATTAAATATTCCAGAAGCGTTTGAAAGTAGAATGATTATGGGAACAAGATGGTTGATTTTGGTAAAGGAAGATTAATCTGTTTACAAAAACAGTTAATATGAAGTTATATTCAAAGAGTATTAAATAGAATGTTGAAGACAACCGAAGCTCAGTTTCCCTTTCTATCCAGGCAGTGATCATCTACCTCTGACTTATACTTAACTCTAACGATATGACTATACAGAAGATAGTGTTATAATTTTGCCATAAATTTGTCGGTCTACTCTGCTCATGACGCTAGAAATGATCTTTCTTCAACATGGTATAAAGGTATAAGAAAAACTTTTGTCAAAATACAGGAATTTTGCAGACAGAGCTATGAGACGATACAATGTGAGGCAGTTCGTTGCTAGTTGCGAATTATTTTATTTCCTCTTTTGATCTTTTGAAAATTCTGTTTCATTCTAGAAAGGTTGCAATCCAGATACAATCAGCGCAATCCAACAGCGGCTTGATAAACTAGAAAAAGAATGTGTTCAGGTAAACTTATAATTTATAGTGCTTAACTATTGCTTTTACTGTAAAAGAAATGTAGTGATACAATCAGTACTCGAGCAATCACTTGTGTGAGGAAACCTTTTACTCATAGCAATTCGTTAAAATAATGCTCAAATTACACACCTTGTATGCTGCATTGGGGAAATAATTTTCAAATGGATGAACCTCTGATGCATGCATCTTCAAGGTTGCACAAAAAGCTGAAACCTTTGTGTGGGTCTGATCTTTCGCGCAAAGTTGAAATTTGCAGTACAAATCAGGTTCCTATATAATCAGGTTCCTGCATAAAATTCGTCATCTTCTATGACGAAATGGACTACGGGGCCTAGGGGGGTCACTTCCAATACCGGAGGTCCATCCTATAATTTTGGGCAAGAGTCTTCTTTGGGATCTGATACTTTTGGATAGCTGATTTAACAACATACATTTTTTATGCTTCTGGGTTCAACTAATACATAACAATATCAAAAACAGGGATAACATTTATAACGATGCCAGGAGCTGTTTATTATAAAAAACAGTCTAATTTACTTTGACTAGTTCTCTCTTATATGCTCAACAACAACATTCTGTGTTTTGATAACTTTAGGTCCTATCAGCACATTTTGATTGATAATTTTGGGTCTGTAAATTTTTTTTCGATACTTTTGGGTGAATCATGATAATTGCGGAGGGACGTCCCCATAAATAAAAGGTTTGAATGACTCCCCTGGGCTACGAGGTAAGGCTTTTTGGATCTATGCAGAGCCTACATTACCCCATAAATTACAAAAAGTCAAAATTTGTTAAAATTACGCCGGCATAAACAAAGGTGATGTCCTTACGCCAAATCTTTACTCCAAAAGAGCTTCAAAATTTGCTTCAGAAATATTTTGTTTCGCGATTTTATGGTAAAAAAGTGATGATTTTACTAGTTTTGTGTTTGACCCAACTTCACTATAACTATACTAACGTCGAAATAATGTAAATGACTTTTGGAGCATGTCAACAGATTATAAGTATTTTTACATTTCTTTTCAGAACACTACTATGTTGGCAAGTATAACACTAAACGTTGTCACTGCGCTGGCGCAATCGAAGCCTTCTCTCAAGTCAAACGACATTACACCACCAAGAGTAGTTGGCGGTGGAGGCGGCGGGTTTGGTGGTGGTGCAGGCGGTGGTGCCGGTGGTGGCGGTGGATTTGGATTCGGTGCTGGTGGATCCGGTCCTGTTCCCGAGGCAAAGCCAGCACAATCTCCAACTCCTGCACCAGTCCCACCACCACCACCCCCAGCCTGCCCAGCCCCACCTTGCCCTCCCCCACCACCTCCACCACCACCACCGCCATGTTCTCCGCCAGCTTGCCCAGCTCCTCCACCAGCACCAGCCACAGCTCCCGGACCAGATGGCAAGAAAGGAAGTGAGTATCCCTATTTAAACTTTAAACCCTGCTTTAATAAAGCCCTTTCCTCTGTAACAGCCCTCTCCTTCTCTGCTAGGAAAAGTACATCATAAATGCTGAAGAAATAATATTCCTTTATGTATCTAGATCTGGCTTCGTCAAATAAGAGAAAGCAAAGCTATCCTAAATGTTATTTCAATGACGTAATTTATCCACTGGTTTTTCTTGCGTTTTAAATACTTCCTAAGCTCTCCTTCTATTTCAATGACAAAGTTGATAATGGAGAAGAATATGTCATATATTCTTCTCTTGGTCTCGAAAAATGAATAACTGAACTTTTTTCTTATATGTGAAAATCTACTTCTTATACACATATTTTACCAGAAGGGCGCATGAATTCGAAGCTTTTATTTTTAACAATTTAGCTTTATCTTTCGTTTCTTCACCCCGGGATCTGTTGTTTTATGTAAGGTCCTGTGGGCAGTGTACCCTTGCACTTGGTTTTTCCCTATAAGCAGAGTTAACTAAGCCCTGCTTGGTTTCTCAGGGCCCTTAGTGGTCTTTCCGCAGAGATTCGATGATCACGCTTATAGGCGTACATAAAGCAAGTAGTAAGGAGTGCTGACCCAGTGGGTTTCCAAGAATTCCCCGAAAATGATGGTTAATTTAATAACTCCAGCAGCTCTTGTCAAGCCTGGGTTTTCTATTCATGCCCTAGCAGAAAAGCCTTATGGAAAACCATCTTCTAATTGCCACTATTTTGCCATCCTTTGCTTGTTTACCTAGCAAATGGAAATATGAAGCCTTGAAGAAGTTATTAACGTGTTTGCAATATATGTTTGAAGAATCTCTTTTTGATCGTGCTTTATACTTTTCACCTCAACGTTTCTTCTTTCATGTCCTTTTTATTGTGCATTGCAGATGCAAACGTGCAATCTGATGTTAAAATCAGCCTAGATGGTAAAGATGCTAAGACTGACTGCCCCCCTGGCCGACGTGACTGTGTGCCATCAGCTGCCATTCGATCTGCCCCAGTTCCAGATGCGAGCAAGGGGGCTTCTGTTGTTGTTAACGGAATTCCAGTGAAGTTACCCGATGGCCTTGGAAGAAAAAGGCGAAGTCATGATCATTATTAACTAAAATCAATTGACACAGTAACGCTAATAAAATCTGACAGAGACAGTCTGTGCAATGATAATTTACAGGGGTTCGGGGTATGGGTAAATTGTGGCTCTGGGGGTTTGATGGACAATTTTTCTTCCTCGCTCTATTGTGTGACATATTGTAATTGTCCCAAAAAATGGCAGTCTGTAAAGTAACAAAAGTGCCATGATAAATTTAGATAATCGTGTATTTTATCGTACTTTTACTCGATTATTGATTTTCCAGAAAAATTGTATTTTTTATTCAGATCTATCTCTGAGATTATTTGATTATTTCCACGAATGTTAACTATGGAAAATATTGGTTTCTGAATAGAGATAAAAAGTGGAGCTGCAACTCTAGATCACAAATGGCTAAAAAGCTCAGTTTCCAGTCTGGCATGTGAGGCCCGAGACATATCACATTTAAATAATTTGATACAATCAGGAGTAGGTCAACTTCATTTAAAAAGCAAAACGCAAAAAAGACACGAATTTTCCAACAAATAGGGAATTTTAACAAATTCAGCAACAAACTTAGAAAAACTTGGGAAGAGAGAAATTCCCCCACCAGAATAATTATTGTTGCTGCATCTGAAGATGTGTGTCAAACCACATATCAATAATGTTGAACGTTGTATTGCATGAGAAGGAAACTAGAAGCTACACTCTTTTTTATAAGAAAAAGATAATATTTGCCGAAGCTTGATCTTTCCATCTTTTTATAATTGAGGCTCAGTTATTCTCAATGCTCTTCTTATTTTAGAATTGATTTTTCTGCATCAATATCCTATAATTTTTTTCTAAATCCACTAAATAACTATTTTGTGTGCCTTCTAATAACGCGTTTGATTTACTAATAAAACCTGTTCTGTTTTGTTTATGCGAGAGAAAATTTTCAAAAGTTAATTGTTGTTTCTCTCCTCCTATGTTTCATCTATGACTTAGCATATTCTTACGATATTCTTATTTATTAGAAAAAACGGGCCTCGGCTTTCTTATAATGTCTGTCCTTTTGAATAGAGTGCATTTACATCAAGGTTTTAAGCTGATACAATTTCTTACCAATAGTCACAAGGACGCCTGTGCATTTTCTTATTGTTTTCCCCCTTTTCGGGGGCCTTTTCTCCTCCGTACGCTTGCTAATCCCAGAAAGGAAAAAAATTAGTTTTTATTCCAGTCGCTGCGATTTAAAGGACAACATTTTCGGGTTGCTGTTGTTGCGATTGGCCTAAATATTTTGAAGAGGACAGAAGGTCAAAGAATTATCACAGTATGCTTTTTGTAATTTATACGTGAACAAGATTTAATTTGCGACAAATCCTTTTTTGTCACAAATTTGTGGATAATAATATTTCTTGTGCTCACTTTAGATTTTGATTTGCCTTATTCACAGTTGTCACTGTAAGCCAAAAATATTACCTCTAGATAATGTTTACGGCCTAACCTACAATTAATTTTCATCTACTCTACTTTTATAGACAGTGTCATATGTTCATGTATGATATATTCTCAGTATAAAAATTCCTATGCAGGATGAAAAAAATTCAAATTCTTAAAGAGTCATTACATTAGAGTTACAATGTAATGCGCATCAAATGTTTAAAATTAAATTTGCTGAATATATGGTTGGAGAGACGTTTAGAAGTAACTCTTTGGATATCAGACTTCTAGCCATATGCCATCAGTGACATGGTTAGTGTCTATAAAGATTACAGATACTTGTTATAAATGTACATATCTGCGAATTGAGTTTAACATGGTAAAGTATAGTAAAGTATTAAACTAAACAAAATTTATAAAAAGTGTAAGTAGAAGAAATAAAAGAATATGTGGCTTTAACATAACATGAATCAAATTTAGAGCAATTCCTTATTAGAATCTATCAAGAGCATCTTGAAAAATGAACTACAGTTGAACGAACATAACAAAACAACTTATAGAATCAGGATATAATACTAGGCCACATTACGCATTCAGCATAAGAGTAGGGAAATGTGTTCAAAGCATGACTAAGCAAGGCTTACCTTGAAGTGTCAATCAATGATACTATGAGTCAAAACATGGTAATAGTAAATGTCTTGTCATTTCCCCTTATATTATATTTGTGCATGGGTATGGTCTACAGTCATTTTCAGTTAACATCAAAACATCCTAGCATTTGCTAGATATACCCTCAGGGCCCCATGGAGAGTCGTCGTCGTCGTTCATTCAGCCGTTGCGGTTGCTTGTGACTGCCATGACCATTTCTCTCCAATCCACTCTGTTCTAGGCCATGGTTAGCGCTTCGTAGAGTTGCATGCCAGTGAGCGATTTGATGTTATCAGTCCACCGCATCGGGGGTCTGCCCCTCCCTCTACTGCCCTCAACCATACCCAACATGGAGAGTAGTCTACTCTAAATACAATCTTTTAGAAATGTAAGGTTTTTTAAGCCTTTTATAGACAAGAAACTTGAGGATGAATTATAATTTTCAGAATCTCACAGATTCCCCACCATTTTCAGAATCTCACAGATATTCCAGGTATCCCTTGGAAGTGCCTTCCTTACAGCTGTAATGGCAAGTTATGGACTGTTGCAGTACCCAAATTTTCATTGCTGCTTTTTGCATACCAAAGTTTCTAGAAAGGCAATGTGTCAAAAAGCCTTTTATAATACTTGAAAATAGCATACTAAAACTAAAGTAGTCTTTGTGACATTCCTCAAAGTATGCACCTCAGGTAGTGTTAAAAAGTAAACGGAAAATTTATATCCAGATGCAGGTCAGAAATAACATTAGAGATAGAAATTTGTTTTTGAAGTCCAGTGTATATAATAGTTTTGTGATATCCTTGTTGACAGATATAATAAATATGGGAATTGGAAATTCCAAAGAGGAAGAGGCAAGATTGGCAGCCGTCATTCAAAAACTTAGCAAGATTGAAATAACTCAGATTGAAACTGTTTTCAGGTAGGCGTTCAAATATGATGCATTTTGTTGCTTTGATGACAGACAGCCTTTAAAGCAACAAGTAAGACAGTGAAAACAACATTTGAGCTCGACATAACATCATGCAATTAACATATTTGATTGGATTCTAGGCTTTAAAAAAATCTGTAAGAAAAATTTATTGAAAAAGTTTCAATTTACCTAACATGATCTAACTACAAATAGAAATGGATATGTGAGTATGTTTTTTAATATCAAATTTTTGATTCTTTTATAACAATCCCAAAAAAAGAGTGAAGCATCTTGAGACCAGCACTCTTTGTATCAAAGTTATGTTGGTCACAAATCTTTTTATTATATATAAGTTAAATTCCCTAATTGGATTCAAATTATCACCATGGAGAGTGCTAATCGAAGAGACTCTACAATCCTGAGCACCATTGCTGAGACAAATGGCAAAAATTTTGCAAGAACGTATGAATTTGCAGCCCAGCACATCATGCTATTCTGTGGTCTACCCAATCTCCTATTGAGACATATGTTTATTTATAGCAAAGTTATCAACATTGAATACTGAAGGGGTTGTAAAAGTCTATCTGTCCTGGCTTGTAGTCCCAAATTTAGCAGCTAATGTTTCTGCATGGTTTTTTCAAACTGTTGCATGTTCTTTGAGGCAACTGAAAGAATTATAGCTGGTAGATATTCACCATTTAATCAGTAGTCAGTCTGTTTAATTTTTGTTTAGGGAGCTCTCTTACCAAAGTGTGGATGGAAAGAGGCTCATAAAACGCCCAACTTGGCTTGATAGAGAGAATTTTGCAGAGAAGTTTGGCCTGCCAGATTTTCTTGGTGAACAATTGTTTGCTGCCTTTGATAGAGACCAGGTTTGCAAAGTTTCTATGAGGCTTTGAAGTTTACATCAGCAGCACCATGCCTAGTGCCTAATAAATTGTCCAAAGAAATTTATAACCTTCAACAATCTTCTCCTTAAAATGTCTTGGAATACTATGATAGAGCACAAAATAGGCATCTTTAAGATTAAAGAATTATTCAGTTCTGAAACGATTTATTCTAAATGCTATAGGCTCTGTTTTAGATCTTGATTTTGGTGCTGTTGACTTTTAATGGAAGTTAGAATTTCTTTTCATTTTTTAACATTTGTTGGTAGAATGAAGTGGTAGACTTAAATGAGTTTCTGGCTGGCATGGCTCTCTGTCTTCATGGGAATGTAAAAGACAAGTGCAGATTGTTGTTCAAAATCTTTGACTTGGTGAGTTGACAGCTCTTACACCTGTGAATTAGATATGCTGGTAAAAACTGTATATATTTTATCATATGATGCCTTAAGGCTTTTGAGCAGTCATCAGGCTTGGCAAAAGCTGTTTTCTTACACAAGAAGAAATGGGTTGTATCTTGTTTTTCCATGCAGTACAATGTTAAGCCAGTTTTGAAGATATTGTCATAAAGCATGACGCATAATTGCTAGTGCAGAGCTTTTGCCTACTAATGCACCAAATTTGCCAAAGTATGCTGGTGGTTTTGCTTCTCTCATCTTTAGCCCCATCTTCCTGAAATTAGCTCCCACTGGGCATTTGACTGCACTGCAAAAGGTTTGCTGCTGTTCACATCATACAGTCAAATATTGCTTGATGGCAAATCTGTACATGACTAAGTGTGTATAACATGTACCTCTGTGTTGGACTGGTTGACTGTGAGACACTGAGTAGCAATGAAGAACCATCCCATGATTCCTTATATGAATTGAATGCATTTTGAAAACCCCCAGGAGAAATGATTGTCCCGTTTGGATTTTCAAACAGACCACCCTACTTTGAACTGTGGTGGTGCTGACACCCTAAGTCAATATTTGTTGTCACATACTTCATATTGGCTCAGTTGCCCCCTTTCTTTGTGCATGTTTTAAAGTGTTATTCAAGTTTGAACACTACATGGTTGAAATTATAGGAAACCAAAGATAAAAGTTGTTTGCAATTTATTTTAAGGATGGAAGTGCTGGGATCAGTGAAGAAGAGCTGAAAACCGTGCTTATCAGTTCATTGCAGTCTGCACATGGTGTTTTGACAGGAATAATCAAGGAAGATGGAAAAGGAACTGTTGAGCGGGAAATGAAGATAAATGAAGTAGTTGCCAAGTGAGTCAAAAATGGAATAAAATGCAGCCTGCCAGAGTGCAGAGTATTTTCTGTGTGCAGGGAATAATTTTATGCCACTTACGCTTGCACAGGAACAAATCATGTTGCTGCAGAACTTTGATTTTAAATAGCATTTGTGGTGAAGCTGTGCATAGGATTCACACAAAAGTCCCCGCTGCAACTTTGCGGATTAATCTAAATTTGCAAAAATTGTGTTGATAGGATCTGAGGATAAACCGTGCATACCCAAACTTTGCAGTTTCTGCCTTAATACTTGAAAACCAAAATTTTCTGTAAGAAACAGTCATGTAGGCTGATTTCCATCGGCCTCACACTGTCTGCATACCCTTTTTTGTATCCATTGCCGGGAGTTTGTTGGTCTCTCCTCCTAACTAAAGCAAGCGTCAACCATCTCTGTCTATTGCTAAATGCCTCATTTTGTCCTCTGTGGTGTATCACAGATGTTCTTGACAATGTATGTTTCCATCAATTGTTATCTAATGCTGTTTTTCATGTTGACATTGTTATGAATGATGTTAATTTAACTTTCCTTACTCTGGTGAGTGTTCGCATTAAAAATTTATTTAAAATGTTTACCTTATGATGTTCTCTTATATAATATTTAAAGTATTAACCATATCTTTCTTATCAAAGTAGTACAATATGTTAAACATGTTTGTCAATCAACTCTCTGAATCTAAGTGTTTCAGAAGCTATATGTTGTTTTCATGGTGAAATGCGTAGCCTTGTGAATAATCTTCAAAACAGAATAATTTACTTGACTGATTTTAATTTTAACTTTTGCCAAGTTTGACTTAAGTTTTTATCAGCCAATCTCTTTAAATAACCCCTATTTTCTAGGATTGTTAAAGATGCATTTGAGAAATGTGACACATCAAGGAACGGAAAACTTGAAATAGAGGTATTTCTCAATTAATTAGCTTATGATATACAGATCTTACGGATATTTGATAAATGGCTCTGCAATTATGAAATTTATGAAGTTTTCAAAAACAGCAAGGCGAAATGCCAAAAGCTTTATTTTGTTGAGTCGCCATGGTGAGTAGAATATCCAGCAGACTCGATCGTTCTTCCTTCAAGTTCTAAAAAAACTGATTAAATGTTTTTAAGTTGCAACAAGCAATTTTTAAGTTTTTGGTCTGAGATGTCCTTAGAATTTCTTACATCTTTGTGACCAATAAAGCTGACCTATGAAGTTCAGAATAGCAACTTAGAACCGTCCTGCTCTAGACACCAGAAACCGTTTTGACGAATATATAGTTTTGATACACATAATGAAACTTATTTATTTGGAATTTTTTAATATGTTATCCCAAATGTCTTTTCCCCAATTTTTTAATATGTTATCCCAAATGTGGCCCACACCTTGCCAGCCCGGACAGGTTTATACTTAGGCCAGGGTCAAATAGTGTAAGACTAGTGTAGCTTTGAGCTGCTTACAATGTTGAAATAAATGGTTTCCTTTGCAATGTATAAGGGTACAGCAACTTTGCCCTTGTTGTGAATATTAGCTTGACGTTTTAAGGGATAAGACTTTCAAATGTTTTTATACACCAGTTTTCTGTTTACTGACGTCACCATCTCTATCTTTATAGGAATTTGAGCACTGGGTACACAAGAACCCAAAGCTGATAAACAGCATCTTTTTCATATCCTGCCCAAAGCCTGCAGGTATGTCTTTTGTCGTTTTGTCTATTGTATTTTCTGGTGCTGTTTGGCAGTTTTTTTCTGCATAAAATACTCTTAAGTTCGTAAATCTTTTTGAAATCCAATGAGCCTAAATTTAGAAGATTCTTACTTGCCAATCTTGCCATGTAGTTCTTTATATCCAAGTTTCAAACGGTCGCAAAAATCCTTTGAAGCCCTTGCTTTTGGGTGGTCTAAGAAGGTATTCTTTTTCAACCTAAGCTTTCAAAACCTGATCTATCTACAAGAAAATAAAATTGGCGTAACACTAAGCAGTCTTTACCAATGCACGAATAAAGATGTTTTAAAGTTTCGGACATTACTTCGGAATAAGTGTCTTTTGGGCTTTTAAATGTCACATTCGGTCCAGAAATATAGGAAATCTGATTGTTAATTGCCTTCCTACCTAACTTTGTTGTAGCATTTAAGTTTATCATTCTTTCCATCTACATGCTTTTGCCATTGCCATGAAACAGCCATTTTCTGCGCTCTGCAATTTTTCTTATGCACCGTACATAACAGTGACGTGATATTTATCTTTCCAGAAGCTGCTTCACATTATGACGTCATCACTACCCCTGAAGGAGAAGTGCAGCCAGGGATAAAAGACGGGAAAACTGATCATGAAACGAGAAGTTTGAGTGAATTGTTCGGTAACCAACCTGCTTTCTCGAAGGATGCTGAGGGGCAAAGCTTTTTCGACAGCATTAGTGCTCCTACTGCCCCGCAGGTGCTTGCAGGAAGTGGGGTGCCCAAGGACCCCGCAGCTACAGCTGTTGGCATCACATCCGTTGGCAGTGAGGCTGCTGGATTCGAGGCTGTTTCAAATGAGCCTGAGCTGTCACAGGAAATTATCCTTAAACATCAGCATAAAGTAAGAATATGATGAATATATATTTTTCATTCAAAAACGAAAACATTTAGCTGCTCACAACCTTTGGCAAGCTTGCGTGTAGCTACCCTGGATACCAGGGCCGCAAAAATTTAACGGCAGCAAAAGCTTTGTAACGTGCAGTAACGTGTAACTTAAATTTTAGACATTGAAATTCATCCCCGCGGGCCTGTTTTTTATTGGGGGTGTGGTAGTAATTCTCATCGTAAGTCCTCGAATAAGCCCCCAGGGGCTTTTTTCGCATTTCATATTTTGAGTTTGTGGAGTTGAAAGAGTCCTATCAAACTAGAGTAAATATTGGAGAAGGCAGTCTTTGATCTTTTTCTTAAAATTGGGTTTTTCTAAATTTCTTTCTTATCAAATTAATGTTTAATGAATGGTTATCGAGTTTTCTGGAGATTTATAATTCATGAATCGTTACTTTTTTGTAAAGATTTACTCGCAAAATATTTGTTCGCAAATAATTTTTTTCGCACGTGTCCTGTTGCATAAATTATAATGTTGTCCCTTACTGACGTTTATACTGATTTTAAAAAATTTTCACTAGGCCTATCAAGAGAGGACTTTACCAAACCAATTGTTACTGTCCGAGGAAAGGATCGTTTCAAGAAGTAGCGAAATGTCGTTGGTAAGCTTGGGTCAGTCAACTGGGGATCTGAGCTCTCTCGATGCAGAAGCTGAAGCAGCAGATCAATCAAGCAATGTATTGGGAGAGGGAGCCGTGTCTGAAGATCGAACAGAAGAAACCGGGGCGCTGGAAGTCCGGGAAAGCGATGCCAAAGAAGGAGGGCCTCAACCTGAAGAAGGAGGAAACATTGGAGCATTGATCAACGAAGAAAAGGCACAGCCGGAACGATCCGCGTCAGGACTCAGATTAGAACTGGATATCGAAAATAGGCTACCGGAGGCTTCTGAAGCAAGAAGTCCGTGGCATCCATTGAAAGACCCTTTGAAACCGGCGCCGGTTCACGATGAAAATGAAGATGATCTATTTCATGATGCTTCAGATTTGATGCATTCTGGACCGGAGCTTGAAACTGGATTGCTTAAATCGTCCGGTCATATTGAATCCGAGGCAACTGAAGTATCTTTGGAAACGCCTCTGAATGCCGTTTCAAATATCAACCAGGTTGAAAGTGCTGCATTTCCTACTGTTCAAGCCACTCAAGGCAAAGAATACGGAGATTCTCCAAAAGATTCAAATCAAAAATCTGCTTTACAAAATGAGAGCAGTTTTGAAGAAATTCCTGAATCAAGCATGGACGATACTGCCACGCAGAGGCCTTCGTCGCTTGTATTGCAAGATGAAAACATGACAAATGTTGATCTGACGCCCAGTGAACATGCGATTGGGAAACCAACCCTTCGCCAGTTAGCAGAGATGAAAGAATTTGACAAGTCTCCATCATTAGAGGATACAAAAAGTACTCTACCGGAGGAGAGGCTTGCTGCTTGGTTACCATCAACTGAAACGAGGCGTATAATGGATGCTGTCACTCGTGGAAATTCTGTTGACAGGGCGCGATTAACTTGCCCTTCTGTAGTACTAGAAGCCTCTTTGGTACGCAAACACTCCCTAATTTACACAAGCAATCGTTTTGCACGCCTTTTTGTATTTAAATTGTGTGACAGTAATCATGCACCCAGTCCATATCCCCTTATTTTCTTCCAGTTATATATTTCCCCATTCTTTATCAATAATATCTTTTTAGGGTGATCCAGTCAGCGACCTCGTTGCCAAATTCCTTGGTGATCAAGAGGCTGCTAAACGCCGTATGCCTACAGCTGATGGTGTCACGATGAATGATGCTGGCCTTAAAAGCCTTTTGGTCAGTTGAACATTTTTTTTTCTCTTTTAAGGAAACAAATGATCTAGGACAATCAGAGGACGGCCATGATGCACCGTCTGAGGCACCCCTGAGGCACTCCTAAGGGACCCTTGAGGCACCCCTGAGGCACCCTTGAGGCACCCCCGAGGCACCCCTAACGCAGAGTGTGGTAATTACTTCCATTTTAAGGTGGATACCCTTTTAAAAGCTTTCTATTTTTCTCCAAGAAGTGAAAACATCAGTTGATAAGAAGGACGTAAACTTCAATGCTATTCATTACAAATGCCCGAGCTCAATCACTTCTTACATCAACCAGCTACCATTTCTGTCATCTATCATTTCCGAATGTGACATTATTCCTCACCTTTGTTGATCCAATGCCAAACTAAGTAAGCCAGCAACTTATAGTAACGTATTAATCACTTCAGGGGAACAGTCCTATTTTGCTTGTTCCGGCAAGTCCCGCTTTGAATCTAACTTTTACGGTAAACTTGGGTTCGCTTAAACTTATTTTCACAAATTTCGATTTTTTAATTTTATTGTTTATCTTTGATGCATATCTGCTATAACCTCAAACGATTTTCGAGATTTCGTGACTTTCCCTGTAGTTTCAAAACGTTTTCATTTTGGCCTGATAGTATCTACATTCAAAGATTTCACAGAAATCTTTCCACAACGTAGGCCTGTTTTTGATACTTCACCTTAAGATAACCGATTCTAAATGTGTCTAACCTTTTGCAATTGCTGTTCCACAATAAATATTCTCGCTGATATTTCTTATCATTCTTTGACAATTTCCAAGCAATTGTATTTTCCTTGGTCTTGATCTAAACAGAAAATAGTGAAACCGGAAACAACGAAACCGGAAACAACGAAACCGGAAATAGTGAAACCGGAAATGGTGAAACCGGAAATAGTGAACCCAAAATAACTTAATTTTCTTTTTAGGCGGCGCAATGCTGGCGTGGTGCAGTCGATTGGACCGCAAAATATCTCACTGCACACGGCCAAGGCGTCGGCAGTGGATCACCGACCGGTACAATCAACCACACCCCGAAATTATTGCAGGTAAAACACGCCTATTAATGCTTAAATGTTACACATTTCTTGAAGGCGTCACATTCCCGTTAGCCTATTTTCAGTTTGTCGCATCTTCCGAATCTCTTATTGAATTCAAATATGTATTGCGTTTCTACAAATATACAATCTTCCTTCGATCCGTGCCTTTCTCTTCACCCCCTTGTGATTACTCGTGTATCTGTTTTGGAATACATAGACCAAACTTTAAAGCGGAAGGAATGAGAGATTTTAGATTATACAGTCAATATCCTATTTTCGTATCTTGCATTCTAAAGCAAGATGTTTTTGAATTATCGAAAATCCGAATGATCCTAAATGATTTGGCCTAAACTTGGATAATAATAAAGGCAAAATTGTTTTTTCTGAATTATGTAAACATGAAAGAACTATGTATATGATATACTGTTTGTTGACTGTCCATGTTACCTGGGACATGTTGTGGCGTTTATTTGATGTTCAAACAATCTACACTCATTTTCTCAAACTATAATTTCAGGTCTGGTTCGTGCGCATCGCCCTTCTGTTTAAACTCAAATCATTTAGCAGTGCCGAAGCCGAGCTGAATGCATTTGGAGATTTCGACAACCCTGATCTTTACTACCAATACTACCCGTCTATCTATATGGGTTTAAAAGGTGAATCACATGGTTTCCAGGTTTATATTTCCTTGTGGGTTTTTGCTATTGTATTTTCACAGGTTTGGTTATGTTTAATGATAAATTTTAGCTTCAGAATGCTGCAGTCTAGTGAGACCATTTATTTGAGATCGAGGAAGATAAAACCATTGCAATTGTTTACATTGAACTTCTGTTTCAATTTGATTTAAAGATTTCTTACTAAGTGACCTGACATTTGAAATATTTGCATTCACAAAACGAAATGAAAACTCTCTCTTCACTAAAAAGTGAACCTAGACGTGTATTTCTAGCCTGCAATTATTTTCAATAAACTACCCTTTTCCAGCTCAATTTTTACACGATAAAGCAGAGAAAGTAACTTCCTATCATACCATACTAAAGATTTTTCCATTTGAAATTTGAAAAAGCTGTTTTAGATTGCTCTTCGATCTTGTCCTATCTTCTTCAATCAAAACACTCTGTGCTTCCCATCCTGAAATCTTTTTTGAGAGCCTTCAATGAACTGGCATTTTTTGTTGCGATGTATTGCCTGCCTCATTTCAGGAAGTATGGTGCCATTTTCTTTGCGAATTATCCGTGCGGAATTGCCACAACACAATGGCAGACCCCAGGAATCCTTGGATCGAATTTATCGATTACTGGCTTCTGTAAGAAAAATTTTGAAAAATTTGAAAAACGGTCTTTCTGAAGAGGATGAAAAGATTGATCTGGCAGAGGATATATTACGCGGTATGTACTCTTGATTCATTTTAATTTTTTCTATACTATTTGAAATAGCAAAAACTTTCGCAAGTACCCTTGCTTTTTAGTTTCCAAATTTTACTCTTTTTGTACTGCTTCTTGTGCCCAAAAATTTTAGAAATCATTCATAGGCCAAATTTTCTTGAAACTCTGTTTTCCTTCATATTATTTTTGTGATTTCTCCCTTTCTCTTGGAATCGAAAGCTAATTTCTCTGAGATTTCTCTGGGAATTTCTCTGGGATCACCAAATCGCGTTCTTTTGCACTACCTTTTGGGAATTATTCCCGTTCTTTTCATAATTCCTTTTCACCGTCTCAAACCCTTCAAAGCTACCAAAACCATCTCAATTTCGATTTTTCCTTCACTCTACCGTAAATTTATTACCCCACATTTCGTCAAAATAGTTTAACCTTTACCAGTGTATCTGGTTTTGAAGACGCCTTATTTTCCAAAATAAGATTTAAAGTCCTGTTCGATTCCCCATCCCCACCCCTTAGGTACTGTCTTTGTTTTGAAACTCCATCTCAATTAAGTGTCTTTGACTTTTAGATACTATCGAGCTTTGGCGGAGAAGAGAGATAAGGGTTTTGTATTCCTTAGGAAATTGTCTAATTGGAATAAAGGTTGGTTATTTTACGTGCTTGGTTTAAGAATGTACGGATTACTGAAACATCATTTATGTTTTCATCAGAATGTATCTGTTTGCAATAAGTGAAGCGAGAGCCTTGAACAGGATTCTTTCATTGTCACAGATCCGAAAACAAAATCGTTCTGTTTTCGTAGGTTGTGACTTGTCAATTCATTTAAGATTATGTTAAATTAATTTGTAATTGAATGCAGTTAAAGTAACAACTAGTTCAACGTTTCAATCGATAGCATAAAAAATGAAATGAAAATATACCAGAAAGGACGCTGTAAGTTTGACATTTCCGGAAGGAGATAAAATGTTGTCTCTACATTGAAAATTGCATTGAGGTTTATCAATAGCGGTTGGTATGTTCTCACTGAAAAATGCATCATTTTGTGTTCATTTGCATTCCTTAGTGTTGAGAGAGTTCATATTTTAACATCTACTTTTTTCCATTGGTATAATCATTTTGCTATTTTTATTCCTCCAACTCATTGACTTCCCTCTTTCATGATTTTTTCATAATTCTATCATTTCTTTGCTGCTCCCGTTGTTTATGCTATGTTGGTTTCAAAATATCCCAAATTCACAATGATACAATTTCTGCTACATTAGGCCCTCTAGCCTCCATTTCATTGACTTTTCTCTTTTATTTTATCTTTCATCATTCTTTTATCATTTTGGCATCTTTCTTGTTGCTTTCTTTATTTCAATTCCATGTTGTCTATCACCCTTAAAACTTTTCTTTTTTGCCCTTCAAGGAATTTACTCTTTCCATGAAAATATTCACGGAGATAATCAAGAAACAGCCGGAAACGAAGCCGCCAATTATATCGGGAGTCGGTCGTCTCCACCTACAAGTATGTAATGATTGCTTAGAGAACTTTTATCAAAAGCAAGTCGTACCTTTTCGCAATTTTCAGTAACAATGGAAGCTTGTATTTACGTTTTATCTTGTGACCATATCCTTAAAATTTTTGTCGTGTATCTTGTCATCATTTAATAGCAATCGAGGGATACTAAAAAGGGTCATAGGCCATCTTTCAATCAAGAATTGACCAATCTGTGAGTGTCATTCTCATTCCACCCACACGCTTATTGATTGGCTGATATTGATTGACAGGTAGTTTAAGCCACTTTTTCGATTGCATTTAAGAACCAGCCCTTTAAAATTGCGTACATTATTTTGGAATGTAGTTATTTGGACCTTCTGGAAGACCATGCGATATCACAAGTACCAAAAAAGTGCCAATAACAATTCCACATTTCTAGTTTTCAAAGTTCATATGAGTGGCAATATTGATAGAAATTGAAATGGTTAAGATGATTTCGAACTTGAGACTTTATACCTCGTTGCCCTTCGTTTGCTCCAATACACCGTGCAAACAGCAATTGGATGATGTTAAACATAAACTAATTCAAGGCAGGATTTTCACAAATCATAAGGCAGGTTAACGGTAATGCTATGATACAGACAGAAAAAAGTTCAAAGCTATGCGGGCCTAGATTTTCAGCGTATACATCACTAAATTATGTTAAGGCACCAACGTATCTCTGCTATTTTAAATTTCCCCTGTTTTTCTCGCCTATCTAGGCTTGTTTTGGTTTATTCTTTTTTTTCTAGCTCGGGGACATATCACTTGCAAAGAAGTATTTCAAAAAAGTTGAACAGATTTCTCTTGGTGACCCAAAAACATTGAGTATCACTGTCATGAACAGGTACGAGAACTCGTATTTCAAGATTCCTTTCCATTATAAAATCTATAGTCAATTTGACTCAAATTTGAGTTATGTAGTATATATTGCTTTTTTCTAGAGGCGGATGAATTATTGGATTAGCTTATGTGCTGATTAGAAATTTGTTGATTAGCTTATGGTGTCCGCTATTGGACAGTGTCCGCTATTGGACAGTGTCCGCTATTGGACAGTTTCCGCTATTGGACAGTTTCCGCTATTGGACAGTGTCCGCTATTGGACAGTTTCCGCTATTGGACAGTGTCCGCTATTGGAAAGTGTACGCTATTGGACAGTGTCCGCTATTGGACGGTGTCCGCTATTGGACGTGGTCCGTTATTGGACATTGTCCTTATTGGACGGTTTCAAAATTGAACGATATCCTTTTTTAGAAGTCTCCATTATCAGATAGTGTCTGTGAATAGAGATTCCACTGTAAATTCGATTTGAACTTTTCTAACATATCTCCTTTCCGTGTATGCAAACTTTTTCTCATGCACTTGATTGCTTTCCAGGGGGTTTGTTGCTCTTGCCGAAGGACGATACAGTGAAGCATTTGAAAATTTTCAATCAGTAACGAAACTGGATCCTGAGAATTCATCCGTACGTCAAACAGTTTGGAATTTTCTTTGTCCATCTTCGAGATGTACTCTCGATGGATTGATTTGTGTTATTAATGCTTGTACTAATAATATTGTTATCAATATGTCATATTTTATTATTAAGAGAGTTCTCTTCTTTTTTCTCAAACCTTTCTATACTTTTTTAACTCTTTTATATATGTATTCCTCTATGAAGATAATATCTATTTTGTGACCTTTCTTGTGATTGATTTATAGGCCTATAATAACGCTGCAGTGGCGCTACTGTTCCAAGGGAAAGTCAAGGAGGTAACTCATTTAAAACAGCCACCGCAGAGCAGGGGAGCTGGGGGACTTTAGCACTTTTTGCAAAGAATGCCAAATATTAAGTAATAAACTATCAGTAAAGCCACTAGTTATACGGTTTTAGACCCCCCACTTTTTATAGACCCCCCACTTTTTATAGACCCCCACTTTTTTTAGACCCCCCATTTTTTATAGACCCCCCACTTTTTATAGACCCCCCACTTTTTATAGACCCCCCACTTTTTATAGACCCCCCACTTTTCATAGACCCCCCCAATTCTCCAAACGCTCTGCGGTGCCTGTAACATCCTGCTTTATTTATGATTATGTTTGTTTTTGTCTGTATTGCATTTGATGAATTTTTACATTTTTAACCAGCCCAATCCTAGAGGTCTCTGGCTGGCATTTTAAGTAAGATAGGTTAACCTATTTTAAAATTTTCACGCTAAATGAAGGATGTTCATACAAAAACACATAGACATCCTGTCTCATTCATTTTATAATGATGATGACGAGAGTGCAATGAAATCAAGAGCCGTGTGTGTCTCTAAAGGGTAGCTCTTCTCTCAATCACTACAAAACCGATACACGAATTTCATTGAAAATCTGTTTGGTGAAATCTCGTCAAATATATGCAATGTACTGGCCAAGTCAATGAAAATAAAGAAAATTGTTTCAGTTTATTGCTAAGTCAAAAGTTTTCACTTTGCTTCAACTTTTATAAGCTATAAAATATGAAAGTTCTATGTTAGTTTTGTTTATCTAATATATGTTGGCAGCTTGTGAAAGTTAATTGTAATTAATGCCGTGTGATTTCGCTCTCTTTATTTGTAAATCTTGATCTCTTTATAAGTTTTCTTATCTGTTTCTCTCTTATCACTAATATAGGCCAGCAACCTACTGGAAACGTTAATCTGGAAGTCACCGAAGGGAAACCTTCACGAAGATGTAGTTTTCAATTTGTGTACAATTTATGAACTTGAAACATCGAGAGCACTTCAAAAGAAACAGAAACTATTAGATCTTGTGTGTCGACACTGTGGCGATGGCTTCAATGTTCAGAGCTTGAAACTAAGTTAGCCTCGATCGGGAATTGGTATCAGAAGCAGATCCAGCATCAAATACGATTGGATTTCCATGTGGTCGACATGTGTATCAATGGAAGCTATTGGCAGCACTTGCTGAACGTTATTAATGCATGGGTGTTTGCTAGACCTTGTATCACACAACATTTCATGCATCCTTGCATTAAATCCTTACTCTACAAGTGCGAGTATTATATAAGGCTCTTTCTTGTAAACAACCCTGGTATGAATTCGAACCTAGGCCCCACTTACAACTATGTGTTGGCTTGCGGCTTACTTACCAAGCTCTTAGTATACCACTTTAAAACCCACGATACTTGGCATGTTACCTGTAACTGTGGATGGTTTCCAGTATGTGATGGTGGTATTTACTTTCTAAAAACCCTTGACCCTTCTTCTAGTAAGTTTTTGGTAAGAAATATTTTTTTTGGGTCATCCTTTTGATCGGTTTCTTGTAAAAAATGAGTACATGATTAAACACAAACTGTTAGGGTTTTGTTAATAATAAAAAAACTGAGAATTCTAAGAATTACGAATTATTGATTTTGTTATTTATGATATTTCTTGTATCTAATTCTCAATGTAAATGTAGAAGTCTTAATTGTATCTGTTAAAGCAATTGAATTGATAAAATATATTATGATTTTCTATGGAAAAGTCGAAATGATTATATTTTTGCAGTGATGTCACTCGTTTGGAACTAGTTTACAGGCAAGTTGTAAGCAAAAGTGCCTATCGGAATGAAAAATGACCAAGCCGTTCGTCAAAAACAAAAGTCCAACTCGCTATTAACAGAAGGAGTTCGTTTATATGACGCAACTGTTTATATATATTTCGTAAAGAAAGTTTCTTATAGAGTCTCCGGGCCTTGCTAGTAAAAGTTTGGTAATGACTTTTTAGCAAAGAAGAAGAGAATTGTTTTCAGGCAGGTTGATGTCAGTGCCGTTGAAAGAACAGAGCCTCCACAACATTTCCTTTTGCAAAAAATTCTTCGTGAAAAAGCTATACCAAAACAAAGCAAGGGAAGTTTTCTTTCGATTAATTTTTCGTAGAGTTGATACAAAAGTCTCACAGTATTTTTGTCTTAATTTGTATCGGAACTGTTTTCCCTTTTACCCCTCATTTCAAGGGAACACTTTGTTCCCTGTTATGTATTTGTTTCGGTGCTTAAAACCTTACCATTATCGCATAAATTATGCATTAAGATTGACTGGAAAGTGATGTGATATGATTTCGAGGTTTGGCTTAAGCGCCCATTTATTTTTCCGATGTCTAAAAATCAATTTCGAGGGTAAATTTTCGAGTCAAGCAGATTCGGGGGAGTACACCCTAGCAGATTGGGGGGCATATGTAGTTGTACGGGCTCGTACCGCCCAAATGGGTGGGTTCGACGTCTTCGAAATCCCTAAATATGGGTCTCTAAAATGCATTGATTCCCATAGAAATAGATTAGCTCTACTGCCGAAAAACCGCTATTTCGTTTTTACAGAAGATCCTTCTTGACCAAAGCGATGTTTGCTACGAAATGCAATGTCAGTTGTAGCTCATCGTTTTTCAGTCCTTTCCATGCTAATTGCAGTTGATTTCCACAAAACTTAAAACTGGCTTTTTTTTGTCTCCCACTTTCTGAAAGTTGGTTATTTTGCTGTATTTTGGGCCGCATTCCCCCATCATTCTTTGGTTCAAGTTACCCATGGGACCCTAGCTACCCGTTGTTTTCGTTACTCTGTCTGCCCCTCCACAAGCTGCAGCTCTTGCTCTGCCCGAGTTCCACCATCCCAGCCGATAACTAAAGCTACGCGGCTGCAATGAAGATCATAAATTTTACAAAGACTCAATCATGGTGGAAGATTCACAGCTCACTCTGAAAGAGAAGATTCACAGCTCACTCTGAAAGAGAAGATTCACAGCTGACTCTGAAAGAGAAGATTCGCAGCTTACTCTGAAAGAGAAGATTCACAGCTGACTTTGAAAGAGAAGATTCACAGCTCACTCTGAAAGAGAAGATTCACAGCTCACTCTGAAAGAGAAGATTCACAGCTGACTCTGAAAGAGAAGATTCACAGCTCACACTGAAAGAGAAGATTCACAGCTGACTCTGAAGGAGAAGATTCACAGCTGACTCTGAAAGAGAAGATTCACAGCTCACTCTGAAAGAGAAGATTCACAGCTCACTCTGAAAGAGAAGATTCACAGCTGACTCTGAAAGAGAAGATTCACAGCTCACTCTGAAAGAGAAGATTCACAGCTACACTCTGAAAGAGAAGATTCACAGCTACGTCTGAAAGAGAAGATTCACAGCTCACTGAAAAGAGAAGTCCACGCTCGGGACTCTTGAAAGAGAAGATGTCACAGCTAACTCTGAAAAGAGAAGATTCACAGCTCACTCTGAAAGAGAAGATTCAGCAAGCTACTCTGAAAGAGAAGATTCAAGCTATCTGAAAGAGAAGATTCACAGCTCACTCTGAAAGAGAAGATTCACAGACTCTGACAGGGTCGAAGCTAGCAAAAGATTCACAGCTACACTCTGAAAGAGAAGATTCACAGCTCACTCTGAAAAGAGAAGATTTAACACAGCTCTACTGCTGTAAAGAGAATCACATGCTGACTTTGAAAGAAGAAGATTCACAACATACGTCTGCAAGGATAGGATTCACAGCTGACTCTGAGAAAAGAGATTACAGCTCACTCTGAAAGAGAAGATTCACAGT